AGTCTCTGTTTAAAAACCTCCACTAGGCATTAGGTCTCCCTCCTTCCCTCTCTTCAGTTTTTCTTTCTGAGGCAGATCACATAGCTACACCCCTGGCTTAGCTCTTTTTTTTCCCCTAAGTTCCAAACTTCTTAAAATAGTTCTTAGGGGCCCTTGCCCTTTCATACCCTGTGCTTCAGCCTTATGGCTTCTCTTCCTTGGAGATGTAACCTAAACTTTCCCTCCTTCAGGAAACCTTTCCTTATCGCCCCTAGGCTCCTTGGGAATAGACTGGTGTTCCCTTCACACTCTACACCTCTGTCAGTGTCCAGTAATACCAGCAAGTGTGATAATTATGTTTTATGTCTTCCTCCCATTAGTTCCTCAATCTTTGAGAGCACAGGTTGTTGTAAACATCTTTGTATGCCACACCTGGCTTATGTTAGCTCTCAAGGAAGTGTTTGAGTTAAGGAGCACCAGGGCCTGCGCTTTATGGTATGTTTTTCGTAGAGTGCTCACTAACTTTCATCCTGTTTTAATGCCTCAAAAACTTCTATTCCTTCTTTGAACTCCACTCGGAAGCTACCTACTCCCTGAGGTCTTGTTTTGACTTTCTTAAATTGTTAATTATGATTTCTTTCAGCACATTTTGTGTTTGTGTGCAAGAATAGAGAGGTGTAGGCCTCTGAAGTATTATAACATATTTATCTAATATCACCGAAGATTATGGTGCTTAATATGTGTGAATTTTTCAGTTGATTGATACATACCTTTTAAATGTTAGAACTTAAAAAAAAAAAAAAATTCAGGGCAGGGGATGTGGCTCAAGCGGTAGCGCGCTCGCCTGGCATGCGTGCGGCCCGGGTTCGATCCTCAGCACCACATACAAACAAAGATGTTGTGTCCGCCGAGAACTAAAAAATAAATATTAAAAAATTTCTCTCTCTCTCTCTCTCTTTAAAAAAATAATAATTTCAATGCAAATGAAAACTTTCCCCTTGCATTCTGTTATAACTACCATAGCCTTTTTCTGATGTCCAACGTCAGTAAGGCTTCAGCTCAGGTCTGCCTTATTACACTGATGTGTTGGGAAACTTTTTGAAAATATTTTTTAGTTATACATGCACACAATCTTTATTTTGCTTATTTATTTTTGTGTGGTGCTGAGGATCGAACCCAGTGCCTCACATGTACGAGGCACGCGCTCTGCCACTGAGCTACAACCCCAGCCCGGAAACTAAATTTTGGTCCTACATTAAAAGGCCTGTTCTCTCTCTTTAAGTGCTGGTTCCTATTTTTAAAGTGTTCTTTCTTTCTTTGTTGTCTTCTGTAGTTGTACTTCTGGCAGTCACTACTTTTTTCTATTTGAAAATGAGGACAGGATTACCCACCTTGAAAGATTATTATTAGGAATAGAGGAGATAATCTATACAAAGGATTTTTTCATACAGTTTAGCAGACAGTAAGTGTTCTCTAAAAAGAACTTATTATTAACAGTTCTCATTTATTCTAATTGTTTGAATTGTTTCAGTAGGAAAAAAAAATCTCAAGTTTGAGAGATCTTCCAGTGGAGTAAGGGACATGACATTTGCCAATAGACAAACTGTAGGGATGGGTCCTGAATGGCCGATGTTGATGGAAGTCTTAAGCTTTAGAACAGATCATTTAAAATTATATACATATAATTTAAATCCCAGACTCAGCAATAACCTCATTAATTGTTCTGTTTGTGTGTTTATTTAAATTTTTTTCTTAGTTGTAGTTGGACACAATACCTTAATTTTATTTTTATATGGTGCTGAGGATCCAACCCAGCCAGTGCCTCTCACATGCTACCACTGAGCCACAACCCAGCCCTTGTGTGTTTATTTATTTATTTATTTATTTTTGTGGTGCTGGGGATTGAATCCAGGACCTTGTGCATATGAAGCAAGCACTCAACCAACTGAGCTAGATTCCCAGCCCCTGTGTGTTTATTTTTGAGCTGGGGTCTTGTGGTGTTTCCCTGGCTGTCTTTTGAACTCCTGAGCTTAGGTGACTCGCCTGCCTCAGGCTTCCAGGTAGCTGGGATACAGCCATGGCCTACCACACCTAGCCAGTTGTTATAGGGTTGTAGTTTTTAGTGTTAGCATATAAAGTTACAAAGAAGTACAGTGTGTCAAGCTCTAGCTTACACCAACGTTTGAATGATGGCTCCAGGAACTTGTGGTGAGCAATCTGGTTTCATGTTCTTACTGTATGTGAAAATATTTGGTAACTATTTGTGAATTAGTTCATCAAACTGTATGAAGTGCAGAATGTGTTCCAGATACATTTTTAGATATATGTTTAAAAAATGGTGAACAAGAGAAAATTCTTTTTAAGGGGATTACAGTCCTTTGGGGTAGATAGGAAATAAATAGTATAATGTAATTTGTACACAAGTGCCCTGAAGGAAAATTAAGCAGTGTGAGGGGTAGAAGAGGAGCAGAATTCCAGGGCTTTATTTATTTATTTATTTATTTATTTATTTTGTGGTACTGGGATTAGCACACATCTATATCTCCCCCCTTTTATTTTTATGTTTTCATTTTGAGACGTGGTCTTTCTAAGTTGCTTAGGGCCTCTCTAAGTTGCTGAGGCTGACCTTGAACTTGGAATCCTTCTGCTCCAGAATGACTGGGATTCCTAGCCCACTTGGCTCAGGGTGTTCATTTCAGAAAGGGTAAAGAAGGAAGTCAGAGGAGGAGACAGAGAACTTGAATGAAGCGAAGGGGAAAGCCTTGAGGGCAGCCTCTGGGGCTTCTTCAGGAATGTCCCCCCCCCCCTGCAAGAAAGGCCTCTGAGGGGGGAGCACAGCTAGTTCAGAAATGGCAGAGAGCTGGGATGTAGCTCAATGGCAGAGCACTTGTCTAGCATGCCTGAGGCCCTGAATTCAACCCCAGCACTGCAAAAAAAAAAAAAAAAAAAAAAAACCCCAAATCCAGTGTTTGAAGGGTTTAGGTAAGGACAGGACTTAGTCCACTTTAATCTTTTAAAAAGTTCTGTTGGTTTAACAACGCCCCCCCCCCCAAAAAAAAAAAAAAACCCACAACACTAATTGAGTGTGGTGGCACATGCCTGTAATCCCAGTGGTTTTAAAAATGCTTGGTCTTCTGAAATCTTTCTTTCCTTTAGTCTTTTTACAGGACTGTCTTTCAGTGATTTAGCTTTTTTTTTGTTGTTTGTTTAAGAAAGAGAGAATTCCAATATTTATTTTTTAGCTTTCGGCAGACCCAACATCTTTGTATGTGGTGCTGAGGATGGAACCTGGGCCGCACACATGCCAGGCGAGCGCGCTGTCGCTTGAGCCACATCCCCAGCCCCAGTGATTTAGCTTTTGACATATGGTTTTCTCTAGAGATTGATTGTTCCTAATTTTAACCATCATGGTTTCCTTTAATGTTTTATTTTTCTACAGGATACCCAGGTTTAATATTTTTGTATGTGTCGGCTAAACAGCATTTGTCTATCAAACTTTTTTTAGGTTTTTTGGTTTTTTCTTTTTTTCTTTTTTTACTTTTTAATGAGCACTTCTAATCAATATGGGATAACAGCCAGAGAAAAATAATTATTTATTTTTTATTGTTTTTCTAAATTTTTTTTTTAGTTGTTGATAGAACTTTATTTTTATTTATTTATATGTGGTGCTGAGAACCCAATCCAGTGCCTCACACGTGCTGGGCAAACCCTCCACCACTAAGCTACAACCCCAGCCCCAATAATATTATTTTAGATAGCATATATAACTTTTCTATGTAATAAAAGTATAATTGTCTTTTTCACTTATTGAAGTGCTTGAAGTAGATTGTGAATACTCTCTGGAGTCTAGGGGATCCCCCACCATCAATTAAGAACAATTGTAGGGGCCTGGGATTGTGGCTCAGTGGTAGACCGCTCGCTTAGCGTGTGCGAGACCCTGGGTTCAATCCTCAGCACCACATAAAAATAAATAAAACAAAGGTATTGTGTAAAAGAACAATTGTAGGGCACATGAAGCTATTAACAGTGAAGATGATGCGCATTGGCATCCTCCCAGCATGTTTTCCTCTTGGTTCTGCAAGTTTAGGATAATTGGTTTATGGAATGATTCCTCTCCTAATGCATTCCTGTTGTGCCCCAGGTACTTTACACGAGATTTTGGAAATTCAAGGAGAAAATTCTATAGTCTCTGTTTGACAAATTTAGGTTTATTGTGAGGGACAGTATGACACTGACAGATTGAGAGTGCAGTGGAGCTACAGAGGGGGTGAGATGAAGAGTTGGTGGAGGAGACTTGAGCAGAGGTAGTGGGTTGGACGCTACTGGTAGATGGTAGGCTGTAGAATCTGATAGATTTTGTTGTGAATTCCAGTTCTGAAGTTATAGAATAATTACTTTTTAACAGTCAGTAAATATTTAAGGAATTTCTCATGTTGTGATTCTTTCTCTGCCCCTCAAGGTCACTGTAGTTCCTCTGATGCTGAAGTTTGAGATTTATCTTTAAGATAGTCCTTTTTAAAAAGTATCGATGCTAGATTCAATTGTTCCATCAGCCTGAAGTTTTAAAATTTGGACTTCTTTTATTTCCATTTGAATTATGCACATAGATCATGATGATTTCAAAGTTCCCCATCAGAATCTCTGGGATCAACTTTCTTCAAGAAGCTGATCTCAGGATCACTTTTTAGGGTTGATGGATCTGACTAGTTTTGTTTGTTTTAGTACCAGGTACACTTAGCCACTGAGCCACATCCTCAGCCCTTTAAAAAAAAAATTATTTAGAGACAAGGCCTCTCTGAGTTGCTTAGGGCCTCGCTGAGTTGCTGAGGCTGGCTTGGAACTCAGGATCCTCCTGCCTCAGTCTTCCATGCAGCTGGGATTACAGGTGTGTGACACTGTGGCCTGGCTGCCATGTTCTTAATTGCCACTCTGATCCATCACACTCAGAAACGGTATAGATCTGTGGGATATACCAATGCCTAAGATTAAAAAAATTTTTTTAGGTCTTTATAGTTTTTGTTAACTGTCTTATAATTCCATCCCACATATTCATGTGAGTAAAGCAAAACAACAAAGTTACTGTATGAGTGTTTTCAACAGATGTGTGGCTACAAGAGAAGCCCTCTTGGGAGAGATCACAAAACTGTTGGAAAATTATGACTTGGGATATATATATATATATATTAATCTAGCATTGGTACTTTTTCAAAAGGATTATCTTAAAGATAAATCTCAAACTTCATCATCAGAGGAACTACAGTGACCTTGACGGGCAGTGAAAGAATTACAACATGTGAAATTCTTTAAATATTTATTGACTGTTAAAAAAATATTTCTATAAATGCAGAACTGGAATTCAAAGATATATATATATATGTGTATATATATATATATATATACATATACATATATAATATATATTAAAACACCTCCCTAAACTACATTTTTCTCATCTTTAAAATGAGAAGAGTATTTATCTAAAGTTGTAAATATTGAAAAAATATAAAGGACTTAGCAGCACAGTTCTGGGAGGTACATAGGTGGCCCTTCAATCAGTGCTCTTGTTGATGACATTACCACTGCTGTTACTTACTATTGATATATTGACTTTACATACTTAATGCATGTAAAGCATGTAAACAGGCCGAATTGGCTGTTGTTAGTCTGAGAAACATTGCACTATGCTGTATTCTCTCATAGGGCTCTGGTAATAGACTTTAATCTCGAATTTATTTTTCAGTTTTCTTACATTACTGTCTTTTGTATTTTAATCTTTTACTATATATCTTTAAAGAGTGCCTTTTAAAAACATGTCTATTTTTTGCAGTGCTGGGGCTCAAACCCAGGGTCTTTCACTAAGCATGCTACCCCTGAACTAGAGTTCCTAGCAAGAGTGCCTATTTTTATTTTATTTTTATTTTTTATTTTTTTGAGAGAGAGAGAGAGAGAGAGGGAGGGAATTTTAATATTTATTTTTTTAGTTTTCGGCGGACACAACATCTTTGTATGTGGTGCTGAGGATCGAACCCAGGCTGCACGCATGCCAGGCAAGCGCGCTACCACTTGAGCCACATCCCCAGCCCAGAGTGCCTATTTTTAATTCCACATTATCTGTTATAAAATTATTTCCTTTTTGAAACATCTTGTTTCCCTTTACATCTATTTTGGTTTTCTTTCAAGATTTCTGCACCAGAGATTAGTTTTCATTTCTCTTCTCATTTCTGTTTGAGGATTAGATGCTCCATGGCTTCCTCTACCTTGGTAACACAGATGACTTTTAAGTCTTTACCAGTTGCCCTGGCCAGATCTTTTCTAGGTTCCTCTTAATCAAATATTATTGTTCTTCTGAAATTTCTTTGACATATTCATCTACTGTTTTGCATTCTTTTTCATTTGTATGATTTCAGAAAAAATTAAAAGGGAACTGATCCAGAGTTGTTAGATTTTTATGTTGCCAAACAGTGACAGCTGAAAAAGCAACTAAACTCACCATTTGCTATATTCTATCATTTCATACACAAAAGACATCTTTAAAAGTTTAGGAAGACCATGAACCCAGAATTTAAATATATGTGACTTTAAAAATAATGTAATGAGGGGCTGGGGTGTACCTTTGTGGTAGAAGGCAGTCTTAAGTGCTAAGGTTGGATCTCTAGCATCCCTTCTCCTCCACCAAAAAAACCATTATAAATACAAACATAATGTAATGAGTACTTCATTATTTTTGGCTTCATTATCATCCCTTTCTCTCTCTCTCTCTCTCTCTCTCTCTCTCTTTTTTTTTTTTTTTCTGTACTGGGGATTGAACCCAGGGGTGCTTTACCACTGAGCTACATCCCCAGACCTTTTTGTTTTTTAATTTTGAGACAGAGTCTCATTATTTGCTGAAGCTGTGATCCTCCTTCAACCTCCTAAGTCTCTGGGATTACAGGTACGTGCTATTGCACCTGGCTATTTTCCTCTTCTTACTTTAGACTAATATAAGCTTCATCATTTTATGTAAAAAAAAAAAATTTTTTTTTTAGTTGTCAGTGGACCTTTATTTCATTTATTTATATGCAGTGCTGAAAATTGAACCCGGGGCTTCATACATGCTAGGCAAGCACTCTACTACTGAGCCATAAACCCCAGCCCTATTTTTTTTTTTTTTTTAATTCTTTTAAAAAAATTTGTTTTAGGGGCTGGGATTGCGGCTCAGTGGGTAGAGTGAGTGCTTGCCTAGCATGCATGAGGCACTGGATTCAATCCTCAGCACCACATAAATGTAAAATAAAGATATTGTGTCCACTTAAAACTAAAAAATATTTTTAAAAGTTTGTTTTAATTAGTTATTCATGCCAGTAGAATGCACTTCAATAAATCAAATAGGGTGGAATATAATTTCTCATTCTTCTGGTTGTACATGATGTAAAATCCCACCGGTCATATAGTTATGTATGTACATAGGATGATAATATCTGATCTTTCCAAAATTTGACTTTGACCATGTTTTCAGTACTTAAAATTCTCCCCACTGCCTTCCTAAAATATTCAAATTTTGTAGGCTTTCCTAGTTTGACTCCTCTCAATCCTAATCTTTTTCCTCATATCACTTTGTTATCAACCTTTTTTTTTTTTTTTTAATAGTTGCATTTGTAGTTTGGATCTCACTAATGCCACTTCACATCTGGCTCTTATTTATAGACTTTGTGGTCTTGGGCAAGTTACTGTAATAAGAAGAAAAGTAGCCTCTTGCACCCTAGGGCTTCCCTGACACTTCAGCTAGGCCTTGGTGTTACTATGAGCCAACCTAGCACTTAATAGCTAAGTCCTTTTGGTGTTCTGTTGAACACAAACAATTTCTCTGAACACCAACATCAGATAAGATCATCTGGTAACCTTGATGTATCAAGACAAAACCAAGGTTATGAATTAATCATGTCTGAACACAGAGGAAACTAAACATTGCTAAGTTATAAAAGATGAAACATCTCCTTTCCAGGCTAATGTGAATGATTGTGCTGCTTTACCAATTAACAGTGGTACCAGCTTGTCTGCAGTTTTGTTTCCCATAGTATCCAGTTACCTGCAGCCAGTCATAGTTTGCAAATATAAACAGTTCCGTAAACTCTACACCATTCTTCATATTCTTGATGAAATCTTGAGCCATACCATCCTTTGTTGCCTGGAACATGAATTATCTCTTTCCAGAGTATCCACCATGTGTATATTACCTACTTAATAGTCACTTAGTAGCCATCTTGGTTATCAGATCCACTTTTGATCAGGTGACCTTTACTTAATAATCCCCAAATGCAAACTTTTATTATAGTATGTTGTCCTATTTTATTACTGTTGTTGAATCTCTTCTAATACCTAATTAAAAAAAATTTTTTTTGGTTGTTGATGGATCTTGAATTTATTTATCTGTGGTGCTTAGAAGTGAACCAAGTGCCTCAGGGAAGAGTGCTTGCCAGGGAAGTACTCTACCACTGAGCTACCACCCCAGCTCTTACAATACCTAATTTATAAGTTAAACTTCATGTATGTATAGGAAAAAACAAAATATGAATAGTTTGATAATGTCCCTGATTTCAGTTACTCTCTGGGGGGAGCGTCTTAGACTGTATCCATTGTAGATAAGGGGGGACTTCTGTTCAGCTGCACTCTGTTTTCGTCTACTAATTGTAGAATTGTCTTTGCTTTCTGACAGTACCTGAGCCAGACTAAACTCCTGTGCCCTGGGACTCTTCAAAACTATCCAGCCAGATTCCACTTCTGATCTTCTAGTTTCCTATTGTAGGCCTTCCTAATAACTCAGCTTGTTCAACTGCCGTTGTGGAGGGCATGGGTATGGGTGGAGGGCACTGATGGTAATACTTCTTGAGCCTTTGTTTTTTCATATTAGAGGTAATAACATTTTTTTTCCCCAGAATTGTTATGAAGATTAAATGAGAGAACCTAAAGCACACAGTAAGGGCTTTCCATGGAGTAGACAACAAAGTCTAGTCTCTTTCTCTAGTGGTCTGCTTCAGTTATGGTCCCCTGAACAGGGATTCTAAAGGTCTTGTTTTAACCCTTTCTCACACATGGAGTGTTATGTTCTCATCCTTCAAGACTCAGTCCCCAAATACCTTCTTTTCTGTGAGACTTTTTTTTTTTATTTTATTTTTTTATTTTTATTTTTTATTGGTTGTTCATTCTGTGAGACTTTTATGACTTTTTCTGATATCTCCTGACTTTGAACTTCTGAGTTATTGTTTTTACCATGGATTGATTATTAATTATACTCTATCTGTGGCATCTTTGTAGCTGTACTTTGCTGTTTAATTTTTGATTTTTCATATACTTGGTGCCTGTTTGTTCAACTAAACTATTCATAGGATCTAATTTCTTCAAGTTTGTTACAGTATTTTATACTCAGAAAATGATTAAATGTGATTAAAGGAAAACAAAAGGAAGACCATATCATCAGTTGTCACATCTCTTATGGTTTTATTCTGAAATTCACCTAAGTCAGATGCTTAGTTCAAAGCTTTTATTTTATAATTTTTTAAAAATTGTATTGTAGTTGGACACAATACCTTTATTTTTATGGGGTGCTGGGGATCAAGCCCAGGGCCTTGCCCGAGCCAGGCAAGTGCTCCACCACTGAGCCACAACTCCAGCCCCTTGTTTTATAATTTTTAATTCTTTTTTGTGTATGTGATTTTGAGAATGGAACCCAGGGCCTAGTGTGTGCTAGGCAAGCACTGTACCACTGAGCTATATCACTCCATATTAAACAATTTTTAATTGACACATAATGATTGTATATTATTTATAGGTTATACATGTATTGAAATATCATGGTACAGTGTGAAGTGATCAAATCAGGCTGAATAGCTTATTCATCATCTCAGTCATGTATCACTTCTTGGTGTTGGGAACATTCAGAACCTGTTCTTCTAGCCATTGCTCAAAGCTTTTTACATCTTCTTTTCCTAGCAAATCAATGGTGGATAAAGAGAAGATGTCTGTAAGAAACCGGCTATCCAAGTCCAATGAAAACTCTGAGAAAGATGAAGACCAGAAAAACCCTACAAAGGAGTCCCTAGAGACTCATAGAAATGGTGAGGCTTTACATTTTTGGGGATGAATTAATGAAATAATAAATTCAGTGTTCCAGAGTAGGGATTACAATTTTGTTTGTTTTTTCTCTATTATAAATGAATATTAATAGTTTTTATATCTAGTAACAAAGACATTACCTAACCTACTAATAATTATTGGGTATCCTGTTGTATGTTGGGGTATAATAGTGAGTAATACTGATGTTTGCCCCTTAGAGCTCCAAGTTAAGTGAATGGCAACCCCCCCCCAATCACACACATAATTAGATCATTAAAAATAACTGATACTATCAAAATTACTAATTACTCTCATAATATATATAATGAGTAAAACTAGTAATTAGCAGAGTACCTAATCTAGGTCTGTACTGAGTTATAACTCTTAGGAGTGAGGGAGAAATTAGGAAGTTCTATTTTAAAAAAAAAAATTTTTTTTTTTTACTTCTCTTAGTTCTTATATCCAAGTTTGCTAAGTACTTGAATACAAAGAGGAGTATAACACAGTGCTTGTTAAAGTAAAGGCTTATGATTAAGAACGGTAGACTTGTAAATGTAACTCTGATGTCATCTGTTATATCAGGATATTTGTTTTTGCAGTGACATTTGTATAGGTTAGATTTCAACACGGATTTGATATTTGACCCTTGTTTGGTTAACAAATAGGGTGAAACTTTCTGATATTGTCTTTGGCATCTTGAGACTTTTTATAAAAATACATTATTTTGTTTTTCCTACTTTAATTTTAAATATCAGTAGCTGGATTCCACTGGAATGTAAATGTTGCTGTTTAAGTTGACATAATGAAGTTTATTGACAGATTGTTGTATTGATGATTTAAATTACATATTCTTTTTTTTTTAAAACATTTTTTACATTTATTTATTTTTATGTGGTGTTGATAATCAAACCAGGGCCTCATACATGCTAGACAAGTGCTCTACCACTGAGCCACAACTTGAGCCCCTTAAATTGCTGCATATTCTAATGTTATATAAAAAATGAAATTTATACAACGAAGGAGGAGTTAATATTGGGGAGAAACATTCTGAAGAAAGACAAATAATGAAGATCATTGATTTGGTAACTTATTTACTCATTCAATTTATATACTTGTTAAATAAAAACCGACTGTAGACAGTAAATGCAGGTCTGTAGGTTATGTTTTCCAAAATCCTCCTTTAGGATCTCAGGAGAAATATACAAAGAAAAGATTATAATACATAGCAGGAGTATGGGAGCACGGGTAGGGTAGAGGGAACTTTTGCAGAGGAAGTCAATATTTGAGCTGAGGGTATAGCTCAGTGCGTAGTAGAGCACTTGTCTAAGCCCAACCATCCTGTGGACATAAAGACCATCTTTAAGTGACACTTCTAGATTACTTCTGTTTCTTCATGGAGAGCAAGGTAAAACTAGGATGAAGGTAGTTTAAGACGTAATCATTCAGAGTGTTTTAGAAAATAATCAGAATTGTAAATAAATTTGAACTTCTAGGCAATAAAATCCTGTTAGTCAGTGCCTACACATTAGCTAATTTGATTCTTGCCACGAGTGGACAAAACATTTGCTGAAAGAACTGAAACTTGAAAAGTGGTAATTAGTTACTGCTTAGGGCTCCTTAGTCATCTTTAAAATTATAGTCCCTATAAGTTCCTGACCTGTCTTTATTTATTTTTTTAATGCTTCATGAGTGGGATCAGAAGATGTGGGATTTTTTTTAAAGTTGTAGATTGACACAATACCTTTATTTTATTTTTATTGACTTTTATGTGGGGTGAGGATCAAATCCAGTGCCTCATATGTGTGAGGCAAGCACTCCACTACTGAGCCACAACCTCAGCCCCAAGATATAGATCACGTAACAGTGTGCACGATGTTTAATTTTTTAAAATGTTAATTTTTTTAAAGAGAAATGATATTAGTTACCTTGCTTTTCTCACTGGGTTACATACATATGTATGTGTGTGTGTGTGTGTGTGTGTGTATGTGTATTTCCCACTGGGATATAAAGATTAAATATGTTGGGCTGGGGTTGTAACTAACTCCATGGTAGAGCACTTGCCTAGCATGTGTGAGGAACTGGGTTTGATCCTCAGCACCACATAAAAATAAAAAAAGGTATAAAAAAAGATTGCCATCATTAAAAAAAAAAGATTAAAAGTGTTGACATATGATACATAATAAATTATGTGGTGCTAAGGATCAAACCAGGGCTGCATGTGTGAGAGGCAAGTGCTCTACCACTGAGCTACAATCCCAGTCCTATATAATTTATTTTTAAAAAAAATGTATCTTATTGAAGTTGTGCTTCGTGGTGTTTGTAGTACTGTGTTTTCTTCTAGGAGTTGTAGAGTTTCTAGTCTAATTCCTAGGTCTTTGATCCATTTTAAGTTGACTTTTGTGTAGGATGAGAGAGAGATCTAGTCTCATTTGAATAGTTAATTTTTAAAAAGAGGTTACCCTTTCCTCTGACATAGGAATAATGAAGAAAAAGGTTTACAGATAGTGAAAATTAAGAAATATAGAAGACATTTAAGAATTTGGTACCCAAAGTGAAGAACTAAAGGTTACTTAGTAGGGCTGGGACTTAAAGATACAAAAAAATTTGTTTTGCTTTATTTTTTGTGGTGCTGGGGATTGAACCCAGGGCCTCACACATACTAGGCAAGTGCTCTACTATTCACTGAGCTAGCTATACCCTTAGCTCAAATATTGTCTTCCTCTGCAAAAGTCCCCTCTATCCTACCAGTGCTCCCATATCCCTGCCATGTATTATAATCTTTTGATGTATATTTCTCCTGAGATCCTAAAGGAGGAGTTTGGAAAACTTACTCAGACCTACATTTACTGCCTTCAATGGGTTTTTGTTTAATGAGCAAGCATATAAATTGAATGTGTAAATAAATTGTGTTATTAGCAATAGACAATGTGCCTCGGCAGCAAGAAAGTATTTTTCTCTTAAGTATTATATGAAGAGTTACTTTTTTTTTTGTGGTGCTGGGGATTGAACCCAGGGCCTTATGCATGCGAGATAAACACTCTACCAACTGAGCTCTATCCCCAGCCCTAAAGAGTTACTTTTGGGAAAAAGAAAATTAATTGGGTTTTTAATATTTTTCTTATTCAATTTTAATGTCATTTTCAGTGGAGTCTTCAGACATTCTTAAGTGTGAACAAACTCTCTTCTCCGTTCCCAGTTCCTATTGCTGCTAGCCAGTTTGTAATAATGGTTATCATGTTATTTATGGATAGGCAGTTTCTTTTTGGAAGTGATGTACAGGTGTGGGAATTTCTTACAACGAACGTTTCATCCTTGTCCCCTTGGTAGTTGATAAGAGAAGTTTGCATATTCATTTATTTATGAAATACATAGCTTAATATGAAGTGATTGTCTAGTCATAGAACTAAATATAAAGAAGTATATTCTCACAGTTGATAGAAAAATCAAATGAGCTGAACGTGGTGGTACATGCCTATAATCCCAGGGGCATGGGAGGTGGAGGCAGAAGGATTGCAAGTTTAAGGCCATCCTGGGCCACTTAGTGAGACCCTTGCTAAAAGGGGGGCCCAGTGGTAGATTGCATGCTTCTAGACACTCTCAGTTCTGTTTCATTGGCATATGTGTCCATCTTTAAAATTGATAGTGTCTTCCAACTTTGGTTTTCTTCAGGATTCTTCTATTTTGTGTCACTTGATTTTCCAGATGAATTTTAGGATCAGCTTGTCCGTTTCTACAAAGAAGCCAGCTGAAATTTTAATGAGGATTGCTTTCAATCTGTAGATAAATTGGGAAATATTCCTATCTTAACAAGAATAAGACTTCCAATCAATGAAGATGGTATATCTTTGTGTCCATTAGGTTTTTTAAAAATTCTGTTTTCTTCATGGCATCTTTCATTCACTTCAGATACTATAAAGCTTGATGAAGTAAAATTTTTGGATATAATCTTTGACATCCTTTGCAATCTTTCCCATTTGAGGTATGATGTTTTTTATAATTCTTGACACTGACAATTTCCCTTAGACTTTGTTTTGAACCATTGTATCTTTTCTTTTTTATACCTTTATTTTATTTATTTATTTGGTGCTGAGGATCGAACCCAGTGCCTTCATGTGCTGGGTGAATACTCCACCACTGAGCTACAACCACAGCCCTGAACAATTTTTTCTTTATGATCATTTGTGTTCATCATAAGACTATATAACAATAACTCCGTCTAATTTACTCTGCAGAAATTACAAGTCAAAAACATCTGTGTGGACTTGTCACCAAACTTCACCATAGTCCCATTGGTGCCCTTTCCCACTGGCTGTTTTGTTAGATCCCTTCTGTGTTTTAACCTCTAGTATTTTCCATCACTGTTTCTCTGAGCTCTATATTAGATTAAAAACTAACCAATCAACCTACGTTTTCATTTACTACTGTTTCTGCAAATGTGTTTAGTCTATACATTCCAATTGTTTAAATTTTGTGTTTTAAGAAATCTGGTGCCTTTTCAGATCTGCTTGGGTATGTAATTTCTTGTTCCTTGTTTATATTTTTCAAGTTTCACTTTTATTTCCTTATTAAGCATCTTATTTTATATCCTATAACTAATAATTCTAATATCATTAGTTTTGAAGCTCTGAGTATCTTGGTTTTGCTTTCTTCTATTTCTCATTTATGTTGCCTGTTTCCTGGTGTATTTTATGATTTTTAACTACAAATTTCTTTTTTTCTTGGACCTTTATCTGTTGTAATTCTTTAAGAACTCGGTGGATTTAAAAAAAATTTTTTTTTTATGAATAATCTTCCAGGGAGGAATTACATTTGCATCTGTCTGGGGATACAATTTGGGTTTACTTTAAAATAAATATACTTCTTGAGGTTTTTCAGGCCACCCAGATAATGTGAATTTAGGCTGCAAATCTAGCGAAGAGTAAGGGAAATCCACCCCCTTCCGCCTCCAACAGCATTAAAAAGAGACAGGCTCATTTCCTTACTGTTCTCTTTGTTGTTTCCACCCTGTATGGTGAGGATGTAGCTGTAGGAGTCCTAAGCTGTAAGGTAGTGTCCTCTAGACTTCCCATTTTGGGCAGGACCTAGACTTCGTAAGTAAAAACAGAGGACTGAGTGGCTGCCAGTTCTGAAGCTCAAGATTTGCTAGAAACCTTTGATAAGAATTCATATGTTTCTCACATATTTCCTCTTTTTTTTTCATTTGTGAATTTGTGTGAGCTTGGTAATAAGTTTTAAAAGTTTTTTAGTTTTTAATATTTTCATATTATCTTAGTAATCTCAATTGTAGGATCTATTCAGGGAATCTAACATCTCATACTGTCAGAAGTGGATCTACAGCATCATGTGGCTAACATAGCTGTCATCACTGTGTACATATTTAGTAGTTTTGTTCATATTTAGTATTATTATTATGTATAAAGCTCCTTCTACTTATATTGCCCATGCTGCATTTTAAAATTTTTATTTGTAAATAGACATAATACCTTTATTTTATTTATTTATCTTTATCTGCACTAAGGATGGAAGCCAGCGCCTCACACTTGCTGGACTCCATCACTGAGCTACAATCCCAGCTCCCATGCTGTGTTCTTAAGGTTATGCCATGTTTTGTGGTTATACTGTAGTTTATACTATTTGCTTGTCCCTCAGCCTCATAATTTAAATAGTGCTGCTAGACAGCTTGTATTCATCAACTTCAAACTCACTTTTTTCCCTTCCTTTAGGTCGAATTGACATAAAACAGGTGATAGCTAAGAAGAGACAGTTGGCAGCAGAGGCAGAGGTAAGAAACTTCCTCTTTCAGAAACATAAATGCACAGTTTTTTTTTAAGAGTTTTATTTAGTAACAATTTTAATGTTAAATTGTTTTAAGTATTATTTGCCTTTTTCATCAGTTGATATTATCTTGCTAAGGAACAGGAAAATAAGATCTGCCACTTTGACCTGTATAAGAGTGCATATTGTCCTTTTCTTTCCTGTCCCATCCTTTACTGTCATTTTCTGGCTCTAACTGGCAAATCTTGTTTTTTTTTTTAATAATTGTACATGGACAGCATGCCTTAATTTTATTATTTATTTTTCATGTGATCCTGAGGATCGAACCCAGTGCCTCACACATGCTAGGCAAGTGCTCTACCACCGAGTTACAGCCCCAACCCCAAATCTTGTTTTTTAATAAGCCATGTAAAGGCTGATGTAGTTAAATGTAGGAGTGTTTTATGAAAGTATTTATCATGATACACAGTAAATAGGCCTCCAATAAATATGGAGTCAACATTTAGAAGTAGATTCTCTGTCAGAGAAGTAGAAATAACAACTCAAAAAATAACAAAGTGGAGTCATATCAAGCAGGGAAAACTATTTCCTAAATCAGAATTCAGTGTACCTCAGGAAATTCTGGGGTCAAAGAAAACTTTAAAAAAAAAAATTGTAATTTAATACCATTTGTGCCTGAGTGTAAGTTGACTTCAAATCCAAGACAAACCTTTTCCAATGAGAAGATAGCTTTTGAAGTTTGTTAACCAATCTCAATTCATAATTATTATTATGTAGATAAAATAGACTTGTTTTAGTTATTAATTTACTTATATATGTGTATGCACATGCCTTTATTACAAATAATTTAGAAAAATTAAAAATATTACATAAAATAATGTGTATGAGATTATTTATATTCACTCTGATATCAGTGTCTTTATCAGGGTGGTTTTTCAGTTATCTCCCAAGGCTAAGGGCATAATCATTTTCCCTTTCATCTCATTTGTTTGAAACATAACACTTTCTTAGTCCAGGGATGATGCTTTCACTAGAAGTATTATTACAAGAATCTATTTACCACATGAAGAAATTAACCCCTGTCATCCTAGAGGGTACTTGTGATGACTACACTATAACCATTTACCATATTGCTTTATAAAGTGGTATTCAAGACATGTTTGCTATATTTGAAATAGTAAGTCTAGACGAAGTTAATAAGAGTGTTAAATTTTATTCTTTTTTCCTGATTCCATTAAGTTAACTGTATGAGCCTCTAAAACTAAGGTGAACAAGGTCATTTGTGGAGTATGTATGTCTTTTCTGATTTGGAACTTTGTTGTTATAATATAAGAGACTGTTAAAAGACATGATTGTTAGGCAACTTCTTATCTGAGTGATTAATTTGTAATTTTGGCTAAGAATATATTTTATATTTATTAAAAATTAAATATATTTATAAAATATATTTCATAATATAAGTCACATGTGTTCTTTTTCTTTTTTGTGGCACTGGGAATTGAACCAGGACCTTATGCATGCTAGGCAGACATTCTCTACCACTGAGCTATATCCCTACCTTTTTATTCATTTATTTTTTCAATTCAACACCCACACATACACACACATCCACACATGCACATGCTTATTCATAACTCACAAAAGCTAAATATTTTAGGGTGCAAAGTGTTCAGACATTCATAATCTGGGTGAAACTACAAAGATACAAAAGAATCCAAGCTTGAGCTTCATGTCAGTTTCCATAGTCTAACTTTATTTTGAGACAGTCTTGCAAAGTTGCCCCGACACTGACCTTGAACTTGGCATAGTAATGCCTCAGCCTCCTGAATAGTTGGGATGCAGGTATATGCCATTGTCCGACCCATGTTCTATTTTCGAAGGTTTATTCTTATGAATCTAGTGATTAAAATAAAGAATTTTTGTTTTTATACTTTCCTAATGTGTTTCTGACTTGTCATTTTTGTAGACAGGACAGACTCCTTGTTGTATGTCTTTTGTTCATTTCCCCTTCCCATCAAGAACAAATAGTCCTTCCCCCCAACCCAGTGAAAACATTCTTTATTGGTGTACACACATTTTAAACTTTTACACATATCATGCAAAACTGTCTCCACTTGTCTAATTGTTCATTGTGATGATATTTTTTAAAGTTACAGCGACTGTAATAGTAAAAATAATTCAGGAAAATAACTCAGTGAAATGAAAACACTGAAGCACATGTGAAGGTATTCATACATTTTGTATGCTTAATTCTAAGGTAAATCTACTTTGGAAGACTATTATACGCAAAAATGGCAGTTATATTTGTATTGCGCTCCATGTAACTGATAAGAAACCAGAAGGAAATCTGAAATAATTTTACAAGGTTTGGTTATTTTTCTTTTTAAGAACACATAGTTTAAAAAAAAATATATATATATATAATATAATTAGTTATAATTGGACACAATACCTTTATTTTATTTATTTTTTTATGTGGTGCTGAAGATTGAACCTAGCACCTTGCACATGCTAGGCGAGCGCTCTACCGCTGAGCCACAGCCCCAGCCTTAAGAACATGTAGTTTTATGCTCTATTTGTAAAGATTCAAATAGGCGAAGGATCATTCTGTCCTGTTTGTTTGATACATGCTTTAAAACTCTAGGCACAAGCAGAGTTTGTGCCTGTGCAGGTGAGTTGGCTCATGGGCTCCATCACTGTGGGTGGGCATCTGCTTGGGAGGGAACTGGGATGTCTCCTAAGTACATCTCTGTGTTAAAATTGACTCCAGAGGAGAGACCTATACACCAATAACAGTGGAAGAAATTGGGAAATTTATTAAAAAGCAATTCCTCACATCAGGCTCAGATGGAATTACAGATTAAAAAATTCTAAAGTATCATGTGGATTCAGAAACTCATGCAAAGATGCCACTGATCCTGTCATCTTCAAAACAAGATATGTCACCTCACATTATAAGTGGTGAAATGAGGCACTGCTTGTGTGTCTACTGCCTGGCTTTGAATAATGTACCATAACCTTTCCCTTCAGAATCGGCAATAGCTGTAAAGAATCAAACGGATTTCCAAGCTTGTGGGGCAGATTCTTTCATGGGCTAACATGGGAGATGATGCTGCCAGCACTTACATTTGGTCTGTGTGAGGTCCTATCTTGCCTTCACAAAAAAATATGTCAATGCTCCAACCTTTGCTCCAGCCCTGGTGTGGCTGCAGTGCTGCTGGGATAGCTAGGATTATTGCTTCATTGGAAAGAGTTCAGATGTTGCTTCAAGAATACAAACATCAGGACAAATTTTTGAACACTTATCAAGCTTTCAAGTTGCTGAAATGGCATGGAGTTGGATAGTATTATCAAGGCTTGGTGCTCATTCTTTTTCATAATAGATTCAGCAATTTTTTTTGTGGCAGGGAAAGGGGGCAGTGCGGGAACTTCCACATCCCATTAAGATGCATCTGCCTCCTGTGGTGTCCATGATGCTTATTTTTTTATTTTTAATTTTTTTAAAAAACCTTTTATTTTACTTGTTATTTTTGTATGTGGTGCTGAGGATTGAATCCAGGATCTCGAATGTGCGAGGCGAGCGCTCTACCGCTGAGCCAGAACCCCAGCCCTCCATGATGCTTATTTGACCAATGATTTTATCTGTGGTGATCTGTTGGGTGCCATCTTGTTTTTTTTCCAGTTGATGTTATAAAAACCTACAAAGTCTTAAAGTGATGGGGAATTTTTGTCTTTCTCCAAGGTTTTGTTTTGCTTTCTTTTTAATGGGACATGCCGCTCACTGATCTTTTCAGAGGTGCCCATCTGAGTTACCATCAGTTCTTCATCCTTTGTGGAATAATCAGTGTCATAGAACCTTGTTAACCATGATTTTTAAAAATATAATGTTTAAGTACCATTTATCAACTGAATAGAGTTATGAAGAATACAATTTGATCTGCTTCCTAATTGGCCCAAATACAAGTCCAGGCAACAGGGAATTAGGGGAAAAGCTGTTTTCTCTTAAATATCAATAAAAACAGATATCAAGGTTTTAATAGCAAATAAATATTTTTCCACACAAGGTTACACACGGGTAACGGGAATTGGAATGGGAAGTTGAGGTGGGGGAGAAAGAGTAGAAGGAGATGGGAAGAAAGGAAAGAATGGAGTTCCTGCAAGGATCTAAGCTAAAACTTTTTAAAGTGAATAGTCTGCTTAACTGCTTTATATATTACTGAATAAAACTAGTTTGCTCAGTTAGGAGGAATGGAAGGAAAAAGAATTGAGTGAAGTAAGGGAAAAGTAGCTGAGGGAAAGGTAGACACTGGTTTAACCATATTATTTGTTACTCATATTGAACAAATGGATGCGAGGGGTGCAAAGTTGTATGAGACTTGTCCCTGCTGTTAAGGGAGGGACTGGCCTGATATAGGTATGGAGCTGGAAAACCTACACTGTGTCTTGGAAATAGCACTTGATGAGCATCTTTGTCTAGGTTGGGGTACAATGGAAAGAATAATATAATGGGGGAAATTGGGGCTGGATTGTAAAGCATGTTTTCTCTACTTTTGAATCCTTTTATGTATAGTTCTACCTCAGATTTTTCTTTAACTTCATATCTTTACCAGTCAAAATAATGTACAGTTGGCCTTTAATTTCTAGTTCAAATCCATGTTTTTCTACAGTTTTCTAAACATTCCTGCTTGGGATTATTTCCTCTTTATTCTATACTCCTGAGTACGTACTTTGTATCCTTAATATATACTCTGTATTTAATAAAGAGTGCTTTATTCTGAATAAATCACTAAATTGACTTGCTGAATTTGTAAGAATGATTTAGATTTGTTTTAATTGGCAGTTATTTGAAATCTAGTGAGATTAAACATTCTGCCATTGATTTATTTATTTTACTTTTTTGGTGCTGGGAGTTTAACCTAGGGCCATATGCATGCTAAACTACAGGGACACCCCACAACTCTGCCATTCTTTATTAATTAGAATGTTTTTTAATCAGATATAGGACCAATATTCTGATGTCTAAGCTCAAGATAGCTTAAGATAGTTTGGAGACAATGAGATAGGGATTATTGTGATATCTTGGTATTTTAGACTGAGTAAACCAGTAGGTAGGAGAAGGGAAGTCCTATTATAAGCCAGTCTTCGTACTAGGTGCTTCACAGACATAGCCTTGTGTGTTAGCTTTTCATTGCTCTGACCAAAATACTCAACAAGAACAACTTAGAGGAGAAAAAGTTTATTTTGGCTCCCAGTTTCAGCAATGGTTGACTGACTCCATTGCTCTGGGTCCAAGGTCAGGTGAAACATCATGATGGACGAGAATGGAGGAGGAAAATTGATGTCAGCCAGGAAGCAGAGAGATGGTGAGAAACCAGGGATAAAATATATAATCCCCAGGGCATGCCCTCAGTGACCCACTTCCTTCAGCCACACCTCACCTGGCTACAGTTACCACCAAATAATGTTCACGTTATTAAATTCATCAACTAGATTAATCCACTAATTAGTTTCCAGCTCTCATAATGTAATCATTTGCCTATGACTTAGCAGGTGTGGTAGACATCTCATGTATTAACTGTAACATCATTTTTTTTTTTTTTTTAAAGAGAATCTTTTTTTTTTTTTTTGTAGATAGACACAACACAATGCCTTTATTTTTATGTGGTGCTGAGAATCAAACCCGGGTCGCACCCGTGCTAGGCGAGCACTCTATTGCTGAGCCACAATCCCAGCCCCAAACTGTAACATCTTATTTATTAAATTATCCTAGTTTATAAGGTCTGTAATTGGTTATATTTTTGTTAGTTTTCTTTTATTGGTTAATATTTACTAGCATGAAATTAATTGAGAAGACAGGTATATGAACATTGTTCATAGCCATAAAATTTGCTTGTTTTTACATATACTAATTTCTTTCTCAATTTTATTTTTTTTTAAACAAATGATTTTTGCACTGGAGATGTGGCTCAGTGGTGCTTGCCTAGCATTCATGAAGCCCTGGGTTTAGTCCCCAGAAAGTCAGGAATCTTTGTAGTCATTGGAATTCAGTGTCATGCTCCACCATTTGTCACACAACTTCATTAGTTGGTCTTCTCCTAATATTTAAGGTGAAGCATTGGACTAGCTGTCCGCAAGGCCCTTGTTGGCACCAGTGGCTTATGTCACTGTCATGTAACTGACTAAAACTTTTGCTCAGAATTCATTGTTTCTTATTGTAAAAGGACCAGGTAGTCTACAAATCTTATTAGACAACTCTTTTAACTCTACCAAACTAGAATTGTCAGATAAAATATACTATGTCAAGTTGAATTTGAATTTTAGACAGTGACTACTTTTTAAAACCATCATGCATTATTTGAAATATATCTTAGAGTTAACAAATTATTTGTTATTTACTTGAAATTCGGATTTAACTGGGTGCCTGTATTTTTATTTGGTTATTTAGCAATCTCCAAAGAACTCAGTATGATGATTTACGTGAATAAAGGATCCTATAAAGGAAAGGCATAAAGAACATTGTCAAGTGATGAGTAATCTCTTTAGTCAGAAGGGAAGTGGAATGAGGGAGATTATGACATTAGTGGGGTGAAATTAGTTGGGGTCATACAAAATTGTGTAATAGGCCTGAGTCATGGTCTTTTGAAATCCTTAGAATTGTGTTTTAACAAGACTTAAAAGTTCTTCGAAGAGCCCAGGAGATTCAAATGATTAAGCTCCAACCAACTTATATTAATAGATAAATTAGCCTTTTTGTTGTTTGTTTAAATTGTTTGTTTTAGTTGCAAATAACAGACCACTATGGCTTATTTAAGTATAAAAGAAAATGTATTTGAAAGGTACTAAAATATTTCATAGAAGTCAAGGAGAAGTTGAATACTCAGCTCTGGAAGGGGTAAGTGTTTTAATAGGAAGAGTTTAGATATTTCAAAGCTCAGAAATTCAGATTTATGGAAGAGAATTCCATTTTGGACAGAAGAGCAAGGCCATTTAGCACACTCCTGGCCTGATTGCTGGGTGCCTGTTCTTATCTCTGAAGATAGTTTCTAGAGGAAACTGAGTGTGCTGAGAAGGGCAAAGAGGGTGTCTTTTTTTTTTTTTTTTTTGGTCTTTTTTTCAGTAGTGTTCATTTCTCAACATGAATTTTTGTAATTTGAGTTTTCTCTCTTTTCCTCTTTACTAGTTGGGAAAGAGGGTGTCTTTACTGTTAGTATTTGTGGAACTTTTATTAACACAATTTTATAGAGGGACTGTTAAGTCTAATGTGAAAATTAAAGGGATAAAAAATCACTTCCTATTTCTGCTTCTTAAAAATGTATGATAGTTGAGGCATATTTTGTTTGCTTTTTTAAAACAAATTTTTATTTTTTAATTGTAATTGGCCACAATACCTTCATTTTATTTAATTTTTATGTGGTTCTGAGGATCGAACCCAGGGCCTCACACGTGCTAGGCAAGCACTCTACCACTGAGCCATAACCCCAGCCCTGTTGCTTCTTATATAGCATTTCAGGTATTGTTTTTTCACATCAATACTCTATGCTAGTGCTCCGCCATTAAATGAGCAAATTGTAACAATAAGAACCAAACCCAGATGCCAGACCCAGATGGCATGTCTGCAAATGAGGGCTTCTCCAAGTTTTATCACTTTTTTTTTTTTTTTTTGGAACTAGCATTTACCAAGGGGTGCTATACTACTGAGCTATATCCCCAGCACCCATTTTTTATTTTGAGTCAGGGTCTTAACCGAGGTGCTGAGGGCCTTGCTAAGCTGGCCTTGAACTTGTTATCCTCTTATATCGGCCTCCCAAGTTGTTGAAATTTCAGGTGTGCAGCACTGCAACAAGCCTCTTTTAACAACCTCTTCTAGAAAAGGTTTTGAATAATGCTGATCTGTTTGATTTATTGTCAGACTGCTGAAGATACAAGTATTTTTTACCCAGAAATTCTTATTATTGAATAAATTAAAAGTTAGGTTTTGCTATAATAATAATAACACAAGTATATTCACCTCTTCTATAAACCTCTTCAGAGGTAGGAAGTTCAGAGGTACATGGTCTGTAGGGACCCTGGCTCCTTCCTGCTCCCTATCTCACTATGGGTAGGCTGACATCCTCCTCCTGCAAATGACTGCAGCCATCTCACCTGAGTTGGGGAAGAAGGGCCAGGAAAGGTACCAGCTATCTTAAGGAAGTTTTCTGGAGATTTTAACAAAAGAATTCCTCCTGTATTCTCATTGGTATCTTATTCTGGGTAGTGTTAAGCCTGCAATTAAAACCAGGAATTTTAGGACTATGGAAGGGAACATGGGATGAGAAGATGGATGGCTAACAGTGTCTGTCACAGCTGTCCATTTTACTTTGATCTTTTTTTGGAGGGGGGGTACCAGGGATTGAATTCAGGGTCACTCGACCACTGAGCTACATCCCCAGCCCTATTTTGTATTTTATTTAGAGACAGGGTCTCACTGAGTTGCTTACCGTCTCACTTTTACTGAGGCTTTCTGAACTTGCAATCCTCCTGCCTTAGCCTCCCGAGCCACTGGGATTACAGACTACATCTCACCTTCTTGAGACTATGCAAATATAACTACATTCTTATAATATTTCCTGTTCCTGCTTTACTTAAATGCATTGATGTATGAGTCTGTATTCTATTTTGGAGCTTTTTGGGAAAGTCAGCTCATTATTCTTTATGATTTTATCACTTGAAAAAGTTAGGTTCCTGCCCTGTTGCTCTCTTAGGAGCAGCCCAGTTTCTTTGTCAAGCACTATGTTAGACCTTGGATTTGTCCTCATACTGACCAAGAATACTATGCAAAAAAAATGGTCGATGAAGAACAATGACTGAACTAGTTACCTTAAAATTTTTCTTTGAAAGTTAAAAAGTGATATGAAAGCAATTTTGGTGTTCATGATAAACACTTAACATAATTTTAGAGCTGTTGAAAACCTTACAGATGATTGCTCCTCTATTTTATGGTTAATGTGAATCTAGAATATCTAAACTGATTAAGTGATGATAATCTGCATATCACTGATTGAGGAATACTCCCTTCCAAATTGCTTACTTAATATCTCTTCAATTAGAACACATATATTATACACTGTGAGGAAGGCACTGTGTTGTGTGGTTCAGCTAGAAACTTTTTTTTAAATAGATGGACATAATACCTTTATTAATTTGTTTTTTAATTGTAGGTGGACACAATACCTTTATTTTTATTTATTCATATGTGGTGCTGAGCATCGAATCCAGCACCTCACACACGCTAGGCAGTGCCTCACACATGCTAGGCAAGTGCTCTACCACTGAGCCACAACCCCAGCCCAGCAGGAAACTTTTCTTTCTTCATGCCACACAAAAATCAGGGGCATCTTAGATTAGATAAAATACATTCTTTGGAAAAAAAATGCCCAAGATTTAAGAGTTTGTTTTACTGCTGTGCTATCATACAACATGTGATAGATTTATGTAATATTGCTTTAAGAGCAGGGGGAACATGTTTACTTACATAGGTTCCCCCCCCCCCAATATAGAAGTAGAGGCAGTGGATATAGCTCAGTTGGTAGAGTGCTTGCCTCGAATGAACAAGGCCCTGGATTCAATCCCCAGCACCACAAAAAACAAAAACTGTACAAAACAAATATAGAAGTAGTATAGGCTCATTGCAGAAAAAATTTCAAAAAAGTGTGGGTGCTGGGGTTGTGGCTCAGTGGTAGAGCATTTGCCTAGCATGTGTGAGGCACTGGGTTCTATCCCCAGCATAACATAAAACTAAATAAACAAAATAAAGGTATTGGATATTGTGTCCATCTGCAATTAAAAAAAGAAAATAGTTACTACTTCAATGCCCATCCCCACCAGGAGACAATATTTTGGTTCATTTCCTCCTGATAATTCATTTTCCTTTTTCTGTCATAACATATGGATCTGTGTAGATATACATTGGCACATGTATGTATGTATAAGTATGTCAGCAAAGCTAGATTGAATATATATGCTTAGTTTGTATATTTTCCTTTTCTTTCTTTCCTTCCTTCCTTCCTTTCTTTTCTCTCTCTCTCTCTTTTTTTTTTTTTTGGTACTGGTGATTAAACTCAGGGGCACTTAACTTGCTATGTTGCCCAGTCTGGTTTTGAAGTGCTCCACTACTTAGCCTCCCAAGTAGCTGGGATTATAGGTGTGCTAATGCAAAGGACTTATAATTATATAATTCAGGTACCTAATTTTATTGCTGGTTTATCCTGAACCATTAGCCTCTTGTATCAAGGGTTATGTAATAGTTATTTTCGGGATAATTTCCAAGCACTCTGTTGAAAAAATAGGAGTTTATTACAATGCACTGCTTAGTATAAACCATTTCTATATTGATGTTTTCAAATGAAATGTCTGCTGTAGAACTAAGCTAAACAAGACTGTACCTTTTTTAAAAAATATTTTTTTACTTGTAGATAGACATAATATCTTTATTTTTTATTTGTATATAGTCCTGAGGATCGAACCTAGGGCCTCACATGTACAAGGCGAGCATTCAGCCACTGAGCCACAAGCCAAGCCCAAGACTCTACTTTTTATTAGATATCTGACCATTTTCACGTTAGGTATATCAGTGATTTTTTTTTCTCTTAGCTGTTTATTTTTGTTTTTTGGGCTTATGGTACTAATTGCATGGAACCTATTTCAGATTGTACAGCTGAAGCAATATGGTGTCATATGAACTGTGGGGTGATACAGACCTGGGTTCTGATCCCTGTTCTATAGCTTACTAGATCTCTACTTGACTTTTTTAAGCCTGGGTCCCCCATGCATAAAATAGGAATTATAATGGTTACTTCAAAGATTGTTTTTTAAGACTAGAAATAACACATAAGAGCCCCTTAACAGAGATCAAGAATATAGCAATCATCCAATAAAAAATGACAGCTGATAATGAGCAATAACAGTGATGATTTTTAGTACTTTTCATAGCTTCTAGAAAGAAATCAAGACTAGATAGCTTTTAAAATAACTACTATCTGGGCTAGGGTTGTGGCTCAAGGTAGAGTGCTCACCTAGCACTCATGAGGCACTAGATTTGATCCTCAGAACCACATAAAAATGAAATAAAGATATTTTGTATCCACCTACAACTAAAAAATAAATATTTTATTTTATTTTTTATTTTTTTAATATTTATTTTTTAGTTCTCGGCGGACACAACATCTTTGTATGTGGTGCTGAGGATTGAACCCGGGCCGCACGCACGCCAGGCGAGCGCGCTACCGCTTGAGCCACAATCCCCAGCCCATAAATATTTTTTTTAAAAAAATAACTACTTTCTATGTACTTTATACTAAAAATTGAATTAAGCCAGCAAAGGAGTAAGTAGGAATTTTGCTGCCAGGTTGGTTCTAAAAACTGTTTAGAAATTACAAAGTCACCTGCCAATTCCTTTGCTGATTGCTGGACATACAGTTCACAAAAATATGTATTTAAGTCAGTTGGGGAGACAAACAGGAAGAGGCCCAAAAGTAGAAATATACAGAATTTTAAATGGTATTCAGAAAAATGAAAATAATGATATGTGAGAAGAAAGAACAATATAAAGAACTTCAGAGTGAATCATCAGGGGAGACCTTTCTGAGCCGTCAGCATAGAATAAGACCTAAAACCTTGTGTTAACTGTGCCCTTGTGCTACTAGTTTTGCCCAGAAAGGTCAGGTTTCTGGTTCCCAGCCATAGTGAGGTTGAAAGGTTCTCTGTGCAAAGCCAGGCAGTGAGTCAAAAAATTCAAAGGCTAGTAATATGTCCGTGTGGAGTCATATTAAAGAAATTGTGATCAAGTAACCTAATTTTTTTGAGAAACTGAAAATTCTATTATGTATTTCTCTCTCAGCCTACTTTTAAATTTTTCATGCCTCTGTACCTTTGAAAGGGTTATTTTATTTATCTATAAATGACCTGCCCTTTTCTTATTTTAAGACTCAGTCCAAAGAAATCTCTGCTTGGAAGTCTTTTTAGAAGGACTTATCTTTCTAAATTGCACATCCAGGACATGTTTATAAGTGTGCTTAAAATGTCATTGGCTTGCAGTTATCCTCAAGATAAAGTTAAAAATTCTTGAAATGGCAAAAAAGTCTGTTGTAGTCTAGTCCCGTATTTTTTCCCCAGTCTTCTCTCTGATCGCTGGTACCTTTATTATGTATTCTTACCATGGGGGTCTTTGCTTCATGGTTGTCATTCCCTCTTATCATAAAGGCTATCTAGTTCAGCTGCTTATTTAAAATAAAATGTTTTGGATTGAGGGTATAGTTCAGTGGTGGTTCACTTGCCTCCCATGTGTGAGGCCCTGGGTTTGATCTCTAGCCCTGGAAAAATAAAAAATCAGCTTTCTTTAAACTCCAAATAGTGATTCTGTTTACAAGATTATCTAAGCACCCACCTTTTCTAATATCTAGTTCACTCTCTTCCTTCCTCCATCTTGGTCCTGGGGCTATCATGGTCTATTGACTGAAAGAAATAAATAGGACTAGATAAGAGTTCAGTAAATCAGAAAGCCTATAACCTCATCGTTTTTAGATTACTTGTATTAGACATTGCTCAGATTTATTGAGATCACTTTTGGTGGTGGGGGGCAGTGTATTACCAGGGATTCAGAAGCCCTTGACCACTGAGCCACATCCCCAACCCTTTTTTTTTTTTTTTTTCTTTCTCAGTACCAGGAACTGAACTCAGGTCCTCACACACTGAGTCACATTTTTTTTTTTTTTTTTTGTATTTTTTAAAATTTTGAGACAGGGTCTCAATGAGTTGCTTAGAGCCTTGCTAAATTTGCTGAGGCTGCTTTGAACTTGTAATCCTCCTGTCTCAGCCTCCTGTGCTGCTGGGATTACGGGCATGCGCCACCATGCCCATTTTGTGATCACATACTTAAGTTTTAATTGACAAGTTTCATGTGACTGAACTTAGAAGAAGGCAAAATGGACACCGCTTGTACTGTATTGTTCTGCATTCCATCCTACAAAGTGAGTGACAGTAACAAGCAGTGACTCTTTATTACCTTCACTACTAGGCTCTAAGGATTAAGGAAATATAATGGTGTCCTCAGCCATAAAGATATTTCTGGTTGTCCCTTTGGCAGCATCTTTTACCAACTTTCAGTTCCTCAGAGAAAGAAGAAAGGCCTTAAGAAATGAGCAGTAGGCACCTAATTATACAGGAATGTGGCAGATTTAAATGGTCACCTTGCATTTCTGAACTACCTACAAGTAAATTTTACTGCAGGAAAAAAAGACAAGAATTAATCCTGGTAAAAGAGAAACCTTACAAGCTCAGCCTAGCTAAGAGGTATCATTGTCTGAGGTGCTGAGTGTGAGGGTGTGAAAGAAACATACAAGGACACTCGAAACCTTCCTCCTTCCATCAGTCCTCACACTACCCAGTGATTTCTTCTCTTCTGTATTCTGTCTTCTTTTTGTTTTCCTGTCACTCTGAACTGTCCTTTCTTTGTGGCACTCACTGCACCATTAGTCCTTTATTTAATTTCTCTCCTCATTGTTAGATCAGAGCAAAGGGTGTAATTCATCTGAGGGTAATGGTGAGCTAACATAAATATGTTCACATATATGTACATGTATTGTGGTTAGAAAAATACATAGTTAGGAGTTAGGAATGAGCATCATGTAAATGTAGACATAATGTAGAATGACATGCTATGAAATATAAATGGTGAGTACTTGGGGTAAAGAGATTGCTTTAGAAGAAAGACTTAAATTTATGGTAATTATGTAATGGGGCTACAATATAAAAACTTTGTTTTCTAAATAAGAATGTGAAGAGAAAGGAATAGCCTCATTTTCCTCATTCTGTAATTTCGGTTCTGTGTATCATTTGTAGGATTTTATTTAGTATCTTTGGTATCTTAATTTGTGCTCAAAAGGAGAATACACTTAACAAAGAGTGTAAAATCACTGTATTGCTTTTTCAGTAGACATTTCTGGAACTACAAGTCAGTTATAGAAATTATTTTTCTGCTTTGACTCCTGTGAATTCATTTACTTAGTATGTCTTTCTCCTGAACCAGCTCTGTTTAAGACAGCCCTTTAGAAAAACATTAATAACCCACATGCATATGTTAGTTTCTTATTTTTCTTCATGTATATTAAAATTCTAGGAATTAAAGCCACTTTTTATGAAGGAAGTTGGCAGTCACTTTGATGATTTTGTGACCAATCTCATTGAAAAATCTGCATCGTTAGACAATGGTGGCTGCGCCCTCACAACTTTTTCCATTCTTGAAGAAATGAAAAACAACCACAGAGCTAAGTAAGTGTTAGTTATTTTCTTTGAATGCAGATATCTATTCTGGCGAATCTCAGTGGTCAGAATATAGACTGCAGTAAAAACGCCTGGATTCATTCCCTGCCATCACTTCAATTGACTCGATGTTGCATTGGGTACATTACTTAATCCCTTGAAGGGCAGGTTTTTCCTTCTTAGTGTGTGGATTATACACATACATACCTGAAGACTACTGACTAGTAATAGTTGAGTGCTCTACATGGAATAACTTATTTAAACCGAATAGTGTCTCTCTGAATAGATATTATAACTGTCTGCATATTACAACTTAGGAAACTGAAGCGCAAAGCACTTAAATGTTATTCAAGATTAAACAGCAGGGATTCGACCCATAGTCTGGCACCAGTCCTTGCTCTTAACTACATTATTTCATGCCTTGCCATTGTACTCTATACAATATGTCTTTATGGGGCTGGGGCTATAGCTCAGTGGCAGAGCACTTGCCTAGCATGTGTGAGACACTGGGTTCGATCCTCAGCACCACGTATAAACATAAAATAAACATGTTGTTCATTGAAATTGGGAAGAAAAACTAGTAACAATATCTGACCTGGAGTAAAGTATGGCTGCAGGCCTGTCCCTGATCTCAGAGACTCTCTAGAAACAGGAAGACTGGTTGCCAACCTGTGTGGCAGAGAATGCTTTTCCACAGGGGCTGGGTGCTGCACTTAGGTGTGTCTGACATCTCTCCCAACCTAAACAGTTACGCATGTACCCACCTTCACGTATTGTTCAGTAGGAGTAACTGAGATAACATGCACAGAATCTTTAACACAGTACCCAGATCATAGTGAAGGGTAATTAATGTTGGTTGTTGTAGTTAATGTCTTTTCTCTTGTCCATGGGATTATGTTTCTTATAATATTTGGGTTACTTATTTTTATTGTATTTTTTGCTTTTTCCAGAGATTTCAGAGCACCTCCAGAACAAGGAAAAATTTTTATTGCAAGGAGATCACTTCTAGAGTGAGTAGTTTTTGCTTTTGTTAATCATTAGTTTGAATTTTCTAAAAAGCTGCCCTGAGTGAGTCTCCTGATTGAAGATTGCTTAATCTATAAGTATTTAATGAATCTTTCTATATCCATATAAGTCATTAGTTTTGATTCTTCTCTTTGTACATTGGGTTCTCTTCCTCCTTCTTGCTGATCTTCTGGTTTTGGATCTAGTTTCACAAGGACAAGGGATAGAGTGAGAAGTTTTGTAATGTAGGTAGACTTTTAGTTTTGTACTTAAATGCCTCCTCTCTTTTTTGCTGGAAGACTTGGTAATTTTCTCATTTTTTTAAAACTTTGATTGCCTAATGCCTTTAAAATAGAATCTATACCATGTAAATTCATTATGGTGACTTCATTTGTGAACTGAAAATTAAAGGTGCATTTTGAGTAGGTGATGAATATTTTTCTTTTATGCTGAGTATATTGTTTACTCATTCAGTAATAGCAAATATAATACTGCTGAAATTAAAATACTGCTGAAATTTAATCTGTGTAGATCATTGAGATAGTTATTTTGTTAAAAAATTATGTTACGTGTTTTAACCTGCCTGTCTTTAAAAATGCACTGTGTTAATCAGTCTTTTATAGTGTCAAATACCTGAGAAAAACAGCTTGGAGGAGGAAAGATTTATTTTGGCTCATGGTTTCAGAGGTGCCAGTGCATTGTTGGCTGGCTCCAAGACAGGAACGTCAATGTGGAAGGGCACGGCAAAGCAAAGCTGCTCCTCTCATGACAGTTGGGAAGCAGAGGGAGAATGAAGAAGGGGCCCGGGACAAGATATACCCTTTTAGGGCAGGCCCCTAGTGACCTACTTTCTCCAACTGGGTCCCACTGCCTAAATTTTCCACCACTTTCCAATAATACCATCAGATATGTATCCTTCTAATGGATTAATCTACTGATAAGGTCAGAGCCCTCATGATTCAATTACTTCTCAGAATCCTCACCTCTGAATAGGGTGTATTGGGGACCAAGCCTTCAACACATGAGTCTTTAGGGTATACTTCATATCTAAACAATAACATGTACCTTACACTCATCAAAATTTACTTTATGGGGCAGAGGTACATGCCAGTAATCCCAGTTACTCGAGAGACTAAGGCAGGAGCAAGAAAGGTTTGAAGACAGAGTGGGCAACTTAGGGAGACCTTGTCTCAGAATAAATAAATAAGGGTTGGTGATGTAACTCAGTGGTAGAGCACTACCCATGTGTTCAATCCCCATTGCTGGAGGGGAAAAATCATGAACCAAATTGATCTGTACCTTTTAACTTCAACAAGAAGGCTGGAGTTTTTTTAAACATGTAATGAAAAATTCAATTTCAGTGGGTTTTGTGACATGATGATTTGACAAGATTGATCTTTTAAATGATATCTGGGGGAGCTGGGTGCAGTGGTGCACACCTGTAATCCCAGCGGCTTGGGAGGCTGAGACAGGAGAATCATGAGTTCAAAGCCAGCTTCAGCAATTTAGTGAGGCCCTAAGCAACTTGGTGAGATCCTGTCTCTAAATAAAATATAAAAATGGGCTGGGGATGTGACTCAGTGATCAAGTACCACTGAGTTCAATCCTCTGTGTCAAAAAAAAGAAAAAATTATATCTGGGGGGGAAATACAGGCTTTTCATGTAAAGGGTAAATAAAATGATTGCTTTGAACATTATAATTATGATTTTAATGTTAGGATTGTATGTACTCTATGGGGAAAAAAAAATAAAATGCACCTTAACAAAAAAGAATGTTATCCAAGAAAATAGAATACATTTTCCATGGCTCGGGTGGATTTTTATTAGAATTTGAAGATCCTTATTCTAGAGATTTAATAGTATTTAGATTTCTCTAAAAGTCATTTAAAAGGTTAACTTGCCACTTTCTATAAATAAGGTTAAATGCTTGCTTTTAGTCAGATATAAAAGGTATTTGCTGGGGATAAGTCATCTAGAAGGTATTGCTATTTTAAAAGAAAAAGTTTTAAATATTAGTGAAGAGAAAGGGTGAAGTGTCTGTTAAGTGATTAAGTGTCATGAATGTGCAGGTGGTCGGTGGTCAGCAGCAGCAGCAGCAGCAAAGGAGCTCAGATGTGTCAGGTTGAACATCCGGAATAGGTGTATAGCTAAGTGTAGTTGTTTCCAAACTCCCCATTTTCAGTGAATGGACTCTGCTTATAATGGAAAATAGTCATTTCTGGTGGGTGTTGTGGAATGTAGACCATTTGTTTAAAGATTTGGCATCATGTTGCTTTCTAGAAGGCAATATAATTTTATTGGAAAGAAAGGTTGAGAATCCATTATAGTTTTACCTTGGTCTGATCATTCATTGTCTCTGTACTTCAGGATTAATATTTTGAGGTATTTTTGAAAGGTGAATTAAGTGTCTTCTAAATCTACTTTAAAAGAAAAGTCTTTACTATGTGGTATTTTAAAATTAGGTACAGATTTCTAATTTGATTTGTTTGAACTACACTTACAGTGAGCTGTTTGAAGTGGACCACATCAGAACAATATATCATATGTTTATTGCCCTCCTCATTCTTTTTATCCTCAGCACACTTGTGGTAGATTACATCGATGAAGGAAGGTAAGAGAAGAAAGTTGCTAGTTGATATATGAGAAGTTGGGAGTTATCACTATATTTTAGTAAAGGATAGTTTGGCTAAAAAGAGGATGATATTCCTTTCTCCTGAAAAATATAACTAAAGAGAAGGTTAGAAGTTTCTTTGCTTTTATTTTAAAAGTACTCAATTTTAATAGACCAGGATCAATAATTACTAGACAACTTTCCCTGGGGATTGGGCTATAACTCGGTTGGTAGAGTGCTTGCCTCACATGCACAAACCCTGGGTTCAATCCCCAGCACCACCACAAAAGAAAAAAAAAGAAAAGAAAAAAAGGGACTAGGCAACTTTTCCAAACAGGAGATTTTTGTATATATGATTTATCAGTGTTCTAAGGTGCATATTTAAAACTGTTGCTAAAAATAAGTAGCTTTCTGTTTACTTTTTTTTTTTGTTTTGTTTTGTTGGTGCTGGGGGTTGAACCCAGGGCCTGGTGCACACCAGGCACTCTACCACTGAGCCACAACCCCAGCCCCTTAATATAAAAATCAAGTGTTGGGCTAGGGTTGTGGCTCTGTGGTAGAGCACTTGCCTAGTATATGTGAGGCACTGGGTTTAATTCTCAGCGCCACATATAAATACAAAAGGTTCATCAACAATTAAAAAATATTTATTGAAAAAAAAATCAAGTGTAAGGGGGTGCAGTGGTGCACACCTGTTACCCAAGCTACTCAAGAGGCTGAGGCAGGAGAATCACAAGTATTTTAGACAGTGTCTCAAAAATATAAATAAATAGAAAGGGCTGTTGGTGTAGGTCAGGATTAATATTTTGAGATGTTTTTGAAAGGTGAATTATCTTCTAAACTACTTTAAAAGAAAAGTCTTTACTATGTGTGTTCAATCCCCAGTATACAAACAAACTAAATAAATATTGAATATAACTTAAACAATAGCAGTGTGGTAGTCATAGATTGAATTTGCATGCTTTTTTAAAAAATTCAATTTGAAATAATGGTAAAATAATATATTAGTAATCTTTTGAATTATACCTATTTCCTTCTGAAAAATCATCTTTTGTACATAAAAATAATTGTTATTGAATATTTTGCCACCTAATATTTTGGTTTTAAAATACTAATGTAAGAATCTGATCTTCCAGAAGTTCAAAGCCATATCTGTCACCTTAGGTATCTTGAGTTCATAGCCAAATAGGGCTTTTAGAGAGTTTGTTGTTGATATGTTGTGAAGCAGAGAGAGGGTTAGACACAGGTCTCTGTCCAGGGAGCCATTATATCCAGTGTAATTATGTTCAGTGTATTAATATTGTATTTTGTTTGAGGATTGAAAGTTTGGGGTCTGAAAGTTTTGAATTCTGTACATATTAGAAACTAATTTCTCTATTCTTCCTCTCTGCTTTTTCCTCTCCAGGCTAGTACTTGAGTTCAATCTCCTGTCTTATGCTTTTGGTAAATTTCCTACTGTTGTTTGGACATGGTGTATCATGTTCCTGTGTACGCTTTCAATTCCCTATTTCCTGTTTCAACATTGGGCCGATGGCTACAGCAGGAGTTCTTATCCAGTGATCTATTCTCTTGTCCATGGCTTGATTTTTATGGTCTTCCAGCTTGGAATTCTAGGGTTTGGACCAACATATGTTGTATTAGCATATACACTACCACCAGCTTCTCGGTTCATTGTTATACTTGAACAGGTAAGATTTTTAGTGTTACCCAAAAGGGTGCTGTGCTTAGTTAAATATTATAACAATAATGATATAATAGTGGTATTATTTTTAGCTGTATTAACGTGGGTAAGTTTTCATATATGGCACTGTGTGATGTAGAATTTAAGTGCTGAACTATATTATCTCATCTTTCTTTTTTTTGGGAGGGGGACTGGGGATTGAACTCAGAGGTGCTCGATCACTGGGTCACATCCCCAGCCCTATTTTGTATTTTATTTAAGGGTAGGGTCTCAGTTAATTGCTTAGAGCCTCGCTTTGCTGAGACTAGCTTTGAACTTATGATCCTCCTGCCTCAGCCTCCTGAGTCACTAGGATTATAGGTGTGCACTACCGTTCCTGGCATATCATCTTATCTTTTAAAATTCATTCTAGCTCCAGTGTTCTCTGGATGTTAGTAATTGAAATAAATTATATTGAACAGTTCTGGATGAATTAAATTTTTCCCCCAAATACTTTTTGTAAAAATCATCTAGATGATTAAATATCTTTGTAATTTAAAACTCCACTTTTGGGGCTGGGGATGTGGCTCAAGCGGTAGCACACTCGCCTGGTGTGCATGTGGCCCGGGTTCGATCCTCAGCACTACGTACAAAGATGTTGTGTCCGCTGATAGCTGAAAAATAAATATTGAAATTCTCTCTCTCTCCTCTCTCTTCTCTTTAAAAAATAAATAAATAAAACTCCACTTTTGGGCTGGGGCTGTGGCTCGGCCCAGCGGTAGAGTGCTCACTTAGCATATGTGAGGCCCTGGGTTCGAGCCTCAGCATCACATAAAAATAAATAAAATAAAGGTATAAAAAAATAAAACTCATTGTCACGTAACTATTTCCTTCTAAGTAAGAGATTTATCTCAATTTTTATTGTTTTTTTTTTTTTTTTTTTTAGTTTTAGATGGACACAATATCTTTATTTTTCTGTGGTCCTGAGGATTGAACCTAGTGCCTCACAAGTGCGAGGCAGGTGCTCTATCACTGAGCTACAGCCCCAGCCCTTATCTCAATTTTTTAATATATCCTTTAGAATTTTCTAACATATATTGTCTGTAGCACTATTTGACTAATAAAAAAGACCAATTCAGAATTTCTTTGAACAGACTTAATTTCTTTGTTTTTTGTATTGGAGATTGAACCCAGGGGCACTCTACCACTAAGCTACCCAGTCCCTTTTACTTTTAATTTTGAGATAAGGTCTCGCTAAGTTGCTCAGCCTAGATGGAGATCCTTTTGCCTCAGCCTCCTGAGTCACTGGGATTATAGCATGCACCACTACCTCCATCTTGAACAGACTTAATTTCTTAATTTAGATTATTGTAATATTTATATTATATTAATAATGCTGTTAGGTACAGAATAATTTGAGTAATTACATGTCCTTTAGGGTTTGTTTTTTTAATTTGCTTTATTCTATAAAAGTGAAGTTCTTTAGTGTCAATATAATCTAGTTCTGGGGTTGCTTATAGGAGATAAGGCAATGATAGAAAATTCATCTTTTCCCTCTTCCTTTTGTAGATTCGTATGATAATGAAGGCTCACTCATTTGTCAGAGAGAATGTGCCACGGGTACTGCATGCAGCTAAGGAGAAGTCAAGTACGTAATTCCATTAGAGTTATAGGATATTTCAGCCTTTAGTGTTCACTAGGAAGACATGTTACATTCTGTAGAGATGATACTTATTTTTAAACACATTGATCAGTGCTGATTTGGAAGACTGTTTACTGATTGTCCTTGTACCTACAATTTAAAAAAAAATTGATCATTAGACTCTTCTGTAACTTCTTATTGTGGACTGTTACTAGCTTCATTAACAACTGTGCCTACTGCTGATAACAATTCACAATGTGAAATTACAGAAGAGTCTAATGATTACCAAGCACCAAGAGTGCTTCACACTCTGGAAATTATCTCAGTCACAGGAATAACTTAGACTGGTAATGTTCAGTTAATGCAAGAATAGGTTGTTTTAGGAGACCAAGAGGAAATAACATGGGCTTAGAGGTCATGTTTTTCTTTGTTCTGTACTTCCTTATTTCCCCCTTTTAGTTTTGCTGGGAGAAATTAAAGAGCCTCTGATCTAATAACTGTTTTTTCTTTTCTAGGCATGATTCCAATACCCACAGTCAACCAGTACTTGTACTTCTTGTTTGCTCCTACCCTTATCTACCGTGACAGCTATCCCAGGTAATAGCATTATGAAGTAGAACTGTGGTGAGCACTGGAGTGAGATGGGTAGGTAGGCAGAGGCCAGGTCATGTAGAGGTACAGAGATAATAGAAGGTATCCTCATTTTTTTCTCTGATATGGGAAGCCTTAAATGGTCATTCCAGCAGTCTAACTTGGTAATATTAATTCTTGGCAGAATTATATTATGATTTTGTATGATCATAAATGATACTAAGTAATTTTGTTTGTTTGTTTTGGTGCTAGGGATGCAAAGTAAGCATGTGCTGTACCACTGAGCTACTCCCCCAGCCCATAAATGTTATTCTGTGTGGAAAAATACTAATTGTGAAGGTCATTATTTAAATTCAGTTACATACTTTAGAAAACTTGTTTTGTTTCTTCTTTCTTTAGAACTCCCACTGTGAGATGGGGTTATGTTGCTATGCAGTTTGCACAGGTAAATTGTTTAATTGCCTAAGATGTGTTGATTGGAAAATGGGGATTCATATTTATTATAATGTAATCTATTCAAAATGGTAGATGTGTGTCAATGAGGAGCTTGAGAATGCTTTCTATTGAGACTATGAAATCTTTTAAAACAAATATATAGTATTTTTTTTTTTTTTGCCAACATCAAAGATAATTTTATTCAGAAAAAAAAGATAATTTTCTTCAGGAAGAGAAATTATTTTAATTGAAGTAATTCTGTTTGTTTATTTCAGTAAGCATCTATGTTAATTTTCCCCTCTCTGTACTTTGGGGTGGGGAGATATGTTTGTGGGTATGGTCCTTCACTCCATTCCCACTCCATTGTGAAAATCCTAAATCCCAGAAGATCTCATTTAAATTGTTTCTAATACCCATTATTTATTCTTTTGTTTAGGCTTGATGTAGTAGGAAAAACAGTTCTTAGATGATCTTTTAAAATGTCAGAGACTGAGGTTGTAGCTCAGTGGTAGAGAGCCTGCCTTGCATGTAAGGCACTGGGTTCAATCCTCAGCACCACAGAAAAATAAAGAAAAGGTATTGTGTTCATCTCAACTAAAAGAAGTATCAAAAAATGTCATTTGGTAAAGGTTAATAAAAATTATGGTAGAGACTAAGCTTGAGTACCTGTTTGCTATTTGTTTTGGTGGTACTAGAGATGGAATCCAGGGCCTCTCATGTTCTAGGCAAATGCCCACCTCTGTGTTACACACCAGTTTTTGTTTTATTTTGAGACAGGGTTTCTCTTAAATTGTCTGGGTGGCCTCACCCTTGCAGTCCTGAGTAGTCGGGATCATAGGTGTGCACCACCTCATCCAGCATAGTAATCTTATATACCAGGGCTAACTGAAATATATATGAAACATTGGTTTAAGTGTCGCATTTGTTTAAGGGTCTTTTGGAACAGAAACATAAGCTTTATTTTTTCTCATTAAGTCATCAATTTTCTAATCATCTTTGTTTTGTTTCAGGTTTTTGGCTGTCTATTTTATGTGTACTACATCTTTGAAAGGCTCTGTGCCCCCTTGTTTCAGAATATCAAACAGGAGCCCTTCAGTGCTCGTGTTCTGGTCCTGTGTGTATTTAACTCCATCTTGCCAGGTATAGTGGGTCCTTGTTAATTCATTTGTGCAGAAGGAAAATAGCCACTGCCTCTAAGTACCTTTGGTTTTCCTCCTTTTTCCTGTAAATGTATCTACACACTTCTGCCATCTTAAGTAACCATTTTTCCTTCTATCTCAGAAATGAAGTGTCCTTCAGGTTTCAGGCCAATTTTTCTATTTATCTATTAGCTTTCACTTAAGTTTTGCTTTCTCTGATGGTGGATGTTCCATATTTATTATGTTTTACCTTCCTTTTCACTATTTAGTTCACTATTATCTTGCTCTCAGTCTTACCAGGTTACTGAAATGTCCTTTGTTAAAATCATTAGTAACCTCCTGACTTTTAAACCCAGCACGTGATTTAGCCCTTATCCAATTTGACCTCCATGATTCATGGGATATTCTGACCATATGTTGAAATCTCACTTGGTATCATTTCTTAGTCTCCTTTTCTTTCTAGCCATATCTCCATCTCTTAACTTCACTTATTCCATTTATTTTTCTAGAGATATATGAGTACCTACTATGTGCCAGATGCTGAGGACTTGGCAATGAACAAGACATACACAGTCTTTACCCTTTGGGATCTTGCAGTTTGTAGTTTCCTTGACTTCCTCTTTTTCGTTCATTCATGAAATGTTTTGTTTTGTTGTGTAAGTTTTTATTAAACATTGGTAATATTTTGTCATTACCATCTTTCCTCCTTTCCCTTTCTCACAGGCTTCTTCCGGTATCCCGGTATCCCTCCCTCACTATGCCCAAGACTTAATTTCAGTGAAGTCCACATTGTCCCTATGATCGGACAAGTATTGCATACTTGGATACCTTCCTCACCAGGCCTTCCTTTAGGAATGTGTCCTAAAGCCAGTCAATATCCTGTTGTCTGGCACATAGTAGATGCTCTATAAATATTTCTTGAATAAATGAATGAGAGGTGGATAAGTCAATGGATGTTTTACCATGTAGTGTGTACAGCTACTATATAAATAGGGTAAATAAAGTGCTTTTGGGCTTTGTTTCATACTAGAGATGATATTTAAGGTTGAGTATTGAAAAACAGGTAGGTGTGTGCCTGCAGGGAAGAGGTAGAAAGGTCTGTCAGAGAGTAGGGTGGATACAAATGCTTAGAATGTTTTGCAGTGGCAGAAATTCAGTATGGATGGTGTTTACAACACTGGAAAGTTATTGGAGATAAGTTTAGACCAGGGTATATTAACCTGTGACCATTAACATTTTGGGCTGGCTAATTCTTTTGGGTGGCTCTCTTATAGGTTGTCTAGCAGCATCCTAGCCTCTTAACAACTAGATATCAGTAGTACAACCTGTACTCCTCCAGTTGCGACAACCAAAGTCAAGGGAACAAAATCTCCCAGTTTTAAATAGTTGGTTTAGGGGGACATCGTGAGGATTAGGTTTTTTTTAATTATTATTTTTTTTTTTAGTTGTTGATAGACCTTTATTTATTTACATGTGGTGCTGAGAATTGAACCCAGTGCCTCATACATGCCAGGCAAATGCACTACTGTTGAGCCACAACCCCAGCTCCATGAGGGCTAGGTTTTAAGGGGTCCTGGATACCAAGTTAAGCCATGTATCAAGATATTTCTTAAAAATAGATTGAGTCATCTATTGTCTGTTAAACCCATTTGGAAGGAAGTCATTGCTTTTTAAAATTAAAAAATATTAACTTTTTGGGGGCTGGGGTTATGGCTCAGCAGTAGAGAGCTCGCCTCACATGTGCAAGGCCCTGGGTTCGATCCTCAGCACCACATAAAAATAAATAAAAGTTCTTGTGTATAGCTACAAAAAATAAATGTTAAAAAATATTAACTTTTAAAAGTAAATGTTTCAGGGGCTGGGTCATAGAGTGCTTGCCTAGCATGTGTGAAGCACACGGTTTGATTCTCAGCACTGCGTATAAATAAATAAAGATCCACTAAAAATTAAAAATGTATATATATTTTAAAAAGTATATGTTTTCATCTGTGGGATGGGTAAACTAGAATAACAATTTGTATTTTACAGAATAATTCCGACTGAACAAATGATGTAGAATTAATGGCTTGGTACGTGAGCTATTTGGAAAGATTCTTCATATTGTCAATCTTATTTTTAGGTGTGCTGATACTGTTCCTTGCTTTTTTTGCCTTTCTGCACTGCTGGCTTAATGCCTTTGCTGAGATGTTACGCTTTGGTGACAGGATGTTTTATAAGGTAATATACATTTGGATTCATCTTCCTCTTCCTATTTTATTTATTTCCTCATTGTTAAGTATTTGAATACTTTTGGCTGATATTAACCAGCTTTTTGATTCAAACATTGTGAAATAATTTTATTTTCCACAAATTTTACCAGTATTAAGTCTGAAATTCTGATAACAGGTTAATTAACATAGCCTCATCTTTTCTTATGCTTCTAACATCTGCTTCCATGATACAGCATGTGGTTTCTGCTGAATCCTCTGAAGATATATTGGTGATTATGGTAGGACAGCATTTGACCCAAGGGCATTATAAGACTTCCCCTGACTGTTCATTCATTTGAAATTGGCTGTCTCATTCTGTAAGAGTGACCTCAGTCAATTAGTCCTCAGTAAATTAGCCGTTTATGAGGGAATTAGCTTTTCCCTTCTTTACTTTGAAAGGTATTGATTCTGCTTATAAATATTCCTAATACTTCTGAAGTTGGAGTTAAGCTGTAGCCAGAGTGGTTCATAGTGATCCAACAACGCTACCCTCAAGTCTACTGCTCTTTTCTTGCAGTATGTGTTGCAAATTTTAGATGTCTGATTCTGTTAGTCTGGTCTTAAAATTGGGAATAAGACATATAAAAAGGAAGGGATGTGGTTACAGCTCAGAGGTAGGGCGCTTGCCTAGCATATGTAAGGTACTGGGTTACATCCTCAGCCCCACATAAAAATTAAATAAATAGTGTGTCCATCTACAACTAAAAAAAAATTTTAAAAATGAAATACAAAGGGATACCAGGACTTGGAAGTAAGTACCATGTCAGTTCTTGTGTAATTAAATCTTTATATACCACCCCCAACTTTTGTTTTTGTACTGGGGATTGAAACCAGGGACATTTAAAACCACTGAGCCACATCCACAGTCCTGTTTTGTATTTTATTTAGAGACAGGGTCTCAATGAGTTGCTTAGGGCCTCGATAAATTGCTGAGGCTGGTTTTGAACTTGTGATCCTCCTGTCTTAGCCTCCCAAGCCACTGGGATTACAGGCGTGCACCACCATGCCTGGCCCCAACAACTCTTTAATATTAGCACTCAATCTAGTCTTTGTGACCTTTTAATTCTCTCATTGTTTTAGCAAGATGGGCAAGGGTTTACTAATTGCTGTTTAAATGAACACTAGAGATTTAAATCATCCTGTATTTTCTGTATCTTCCATCATAACTTGTTTGATAATGAGACAGAATTACTCTAGAGACTTAATCATATGTAGCACTAGAATAATGTCATACTAAACACTAATAAATAATACCCTTTAAGATTTTTCTTTTTTTAAAATTTTTTTTAGTTGTAGATGGATACAATACCTTTATTTACTTGTTTTTATTTTTATATGGTGCCGGGGATTGAACCCAGTGCCTCACACATGCTAGGCAAGCGCTCTACCACTAAGCCACAAATTTGGCCCCACCTTTTAAGATTTTTCTAATGTTTGTATATGGACTAGCAATTTTTCAGAGTATGCTCTGATTCTGTGTCATATTTGCATGTTCCTTGGACTATTCCGGGGTTTTGCTTTAGAGGGGTGTGGGTGTGGGTATGTGTGTGTGTATGTATGTAATCTTATACCTTTACTTTCCCCCTCAGGATTGGTGGAACTCTACATCATACTCTAACTATTATAGGACCTGGAATGTAGTGGTCCATGACTGGCTATACTACTATGCCTACAAGGACCTTCTCTGGGTAAGCAGCAAGACTTAGCTCATGCTATTTAAAAAATGGAGATCCTTTCCTACAAAATATTGTCCAGGCAGGAAGAAGGTATACTTAATTGCTCATAATCACCAATAATGGATTGCTTCTTATGAATCTCTTTACCAACAAATAGTCTCCTTCTAGCTCTTTTTCATTTGGTTTTGTTTCTTTGTTATAAATGAAGAAATACCTGTGTGTGGATTTTTCTCTCTCATCAATGACACATGTCTGTGAGACATTCTTTGTAGTAGAATGTATTTAGACTGATGAAATGATTTTTTTTTTCTTTTGTGGTAGTGGGGATTGAACTCAGGGGCACTTTACCACTGAGCTACATCTTTTTTTTATTTTGTATTTTGAGACAAGATCTCTAAGTTTCTGAGACTGACCTCAAATTTGCCATCCTTTGTCTCAGCCTCCTGGGTAGCTGGGATTATAGGATGTACCACCATGCCTGGCTGCTGAAATGTAATCTTAACTCTTCTGGTTAACACTAGTATCTATGGATTACAGTTTTTATTATTAAATAAGGGCATCATTTAAGTGACAACCTCTTTGGTGGAAATGGTAGTGTATTTGAGTGCTAGTTCTGTTTTATGTGTGGCTTCACATATGGGATGAGGCAACTCCCTTCTCCTTTCTAAATTTTAGCTTTAGAGAGGATGCCTGCCCTATTTTCACAGTACATCGTTGCTCTAAAGATTGAAATTTGATGTCTTTGTTTACATATGAAAATTGTTTTGATAGCCATGGTAACTCACAAATGTAAGCTCAATTAATTTAATTAAAAATTAATGTCTTGAAAGTAATCCAGATCTTTGAACATTAATGCTTTGGAAAATGCATCATTTTAATAAAACAAGTGTTTAAGAGCATGTTTTCTGTATTGATTTGAATAGATTTGGGTTAATCCAAGGAGTAAACTTAGTCAAGTATAAATAAAATTTTCTAGGTGCCCTTAGCATATGATAATGTCTTATGTGGTTCATGCTTAATTACTTAAAATTTATTTTAAAATATTATTTTTACATATTTTCTTTGTACCTTAGTTTTTCTCGAAGAGGTTCAAGTCTGCTGCCATGTTGGCTGTCTTTGCCATATCTGCTGTAGTGCATGAGTATGCCCTTGCTGTTTGCTTGAGCTATTTCTATCCAGTGCTCTTCGTGCTCTTCATGTTCTTTGGAAGTGAGTATCTTGGCATGTTTTAAATCCTGGGTATTATGCTGAAAGAGAAAATCAGGAAGGAAACTATAAAATCAATATAGAAAAATGAAAGAATAGTAATGACCATTTCAAGGCAGTGTATATCAGAATATTGGCTTTCAGTAATTCTACAAAACTCTGTTTCAAGGTGTTTACACTTTTAAGTTAGAGAAATAAACTGGTTTATCTCTTGAGGACCATTGATACTATCTAAACAACTTCCTGATCCATAAATACTATCAGCATGCACTGCCTGGGAAACTGACCATTTTTTGAGTGGGTATATAGGAAAAAATTAAAATGCTGATAATTTCATGTTTTAGATACTGTTGATTTCCTACTGATTATTGGTTATTAAATTTAGACAATCAAGCTTCCTTTTTATTTATAGAACCAATGACCAGAATAAAATACATATATGAACGGTTGACGCTCAGTGTAATGATTAAATGATCGCAGCACATAACTGAGGCTGCTCATCTCCTGATTTTTTTTTTTTGTCATTAATGGATTATGTTTTGATAAGTGTGTATATTTTTGTTTTCTAACTTTAGTGGCTTTCAACTTCATTGTTAATGATAGTCGGAAAAGGCCAATTTGGAACATTATGGTGTGGGCTTCCCTTTTCTTGGGCAATGGAGTCATTTTGTGCTTTTATTCTCAAGAATGGTATGCACGTCAGCACTGTCCTCTGAAAAATGTGAGTCTTCAATTCAGTTAGAATGCAAAAGTAACTTCCTTGTCCTCTGATGTAAGGGTTGGTGGGCAATATTAAGAAGGGTAGTTGTGATTATGTTGAAATAAAGAGTAAAAGGCGCTCATTTATTATCACACCTTCTATGCTATCCTTGAAGTTTCTTCCTTCTTGGGTTTTCTTCACATTGAACTCTCCTAGTTCTTGGTTTCCTTTCTTTCTTCTTCTTTTCCCTCCTTTACTGCCTTTTCTTCAGGTTCTTCTAATTTTCTTCCTGTCTCCTGAAAATGTAGGTATTCTCCAGGGTTTTCCCAGCAGCATGTATGCCCCTACCATCTAAATATGTTTTTCATCTCTTTCTTTCCAAATAAACTCTTATAAAAAATGTCGGACAACATTGATATGCCTAGAATCCCATACCCCACCCCCTTTTTTGTAATTATGTTTGGGCTTCATTGATTCTTAGGGCCTTGTTTTTTAGCTGTATATGGATAACTTCCAAATTTTGAGGGGGGTTGCATTCTTGATATATTAGCCTGGGTATATCTTCCACACATCTATAGCTGTGGATATCTATAATAAAATTTATCAGCTTTCCCTATGGTTCCTTTTTTTGCAGACTTTGTCTCCGTTATGTAGCTTTAATCCTCCCTTCTTATTTCCTATTGATCCCCTGTGTGCATCTGAACTAATCACTCTTGACTCTAGACTCTACCCTGGTCATGCTGCTCTTTATACTCGGAATCCACGTCAGATTTTATTCTATCAAAATCTAATTTGGAAGATCTATTTTTCATGAAGCTTCTTCAAATTTTTGTTCCCATCTTATTTCTAAAATTTCACAGTATACTTAATCTGCTTCTCCTTTAAATAGTTTAGTACCTTAAAACCTTATATTATGGTCATTTTGTGTACATATTTTATCATCCTTAATCTATCATTATTTTGATTTTAGGACACAAAGTGGGATTTTGCTAAAATTAAGAAGGCAAGGTGCTAAAAGGCCTAGTACCTATTTAGAATTTGGTCAGCAGACATGTAATTGTGTAGAGTTTATTGAACTTCAGAGACTTCATGTGAAGCTTCTAAGTTGAATAAATCAGTACTATAGATGAAAATACCAAACACCTTTGTATTAGTTTCTTATAGCTTAAAGGTTTCTGAATGGCTGGGGGGCAATTTAGAGATGTATACTGTATAACATTACACCTCTCCCACCACCATAATTTATATATATGGTATACACAAATAAAACATTCCTTCTTTTTTTTTTTCTGTCATAGCCAACATTTCTGGACTATATCCGGCCACGTTCCTGGACTTGCCGTTATGTGTTTTAGAAGCCTGGACTATTTCTATCCTCGTCACTGAAGATAGGATATTCTGCCTGATTTGGGGACAGCTGTATAATTTGGACTATTCCAGGCTTTACAGATGGCTCACTCCATTCCTAGCTCTCCTGGTGCTGGATTGTTGGGAGTTCACTGGAATCTTGTATGCTTAAGAGGACTTTTTTCCCCTTTTTGGGAGAAGGGAGACTTATAGCTGAGGTAATGACAGATTTTTGCTGGGTCATCTCAGCTTAAGCCTTGGTAATTATATCTATTTTATTCCTTCACTTCATCCAATCAGAGACTAAACATACTTGTGTGGCCACTGAGTTAGCCAAAACACTTAGGAAGTATCTCACTTTAAGTAACTCTGGCTTAGAGTTGTTTTCATACATGTTGTTGGAAGGTATTTTAATTAAACATGCAATTGGAAAAGAAAGGAAAATAAAGATTTTTTTGGTATTTCTTGTAGAAAAGAAAAAAATATCAATTTTCCAAAGATACATTTGTTATACGTTCCATTTTATATTTTTTTAAAAGTTCAGATCTACTCAGTTTTTCTTTCTCTATACAATATTGTGAAGCAATTAGCTGCCTTTCACCTTGAATTCTCAAGTTTATGTCAATCACAGTATATATTTGAGGGTATCAGAAGTAGCACAAAAAGAACATTTCTTTTTTTTTTTCTTTTTTTTTTAAAGAGAGAGAGAAGGAAGGAGGAGAGAAAGAATTTTAATATTTATTTTTTAGTTTTCGGTGGACACAACATCTTTGTATGTGGTACATGCCAGGCGAACACGCTACCGCTTGAGCCACATCCCCAGCCCCACAAGAAGAACATTTCTTTGATTCCAGAGTAATTTAAAAAAAAAAATTTCTGAGTCAATGATGTGTTTCAATTATTTTATCTACAATAGAATTACATGAAGGTTTGTTAACTTTAAGGTAATAACTTCTTTGAAGTTATTTAGAAGTATCCTTTGCTGCAATTATTTTATTTTCTAATAAACAGTGACTTCCCTTATTTTACAGACTAGCGAGTCATATATAACATAATATTAATCTCCTCAGTTAGTAGTAAAATGATCATTAAGGATCCAGAAGCTGGCTTCTGAAGCAGTTGCTCAATGGTAGCCTATTTTTAGATAAATATGTGACTGTTATCCAGGAAATGTACTCTATTATGTGATATCTCCAGGATATAAGATACTCATTCCTAATACAATGTGGTGTGTAAAATAATGTTTTTCTTTGTATGTATGAAATATTATGTTTATAAAGTTTGCACATTGGAAGAGATATCAGATACCATATAGTTCAACTTTCTACCCCCCAAAAGTGAGACTTACATATTATTCAAATGATTATTGTTAGCTGGAGCAGCCACTTGAGAGATTATTGATATTCAGATAGTTTTGGGATGTCTTTTCGGATGTCTTTTCACCACTGTTCTACAGTCATTTGAATCTCACAAGAAGATAAGGTGGAGTTTCTTAACCGGCGCACCTAGTTTGGACCACAGGTCTCCAGCTTAAGATCCCATTTTGTTTACCATACCTTTGAATCAGATGAGTTGAGGCAGTTTTCAAACATAAGACCCAGTTTAAAAGACACAAGTTCACCTCAAAACAAGTTATTAAAAAATTATTCTGCATATTTCTAAGAAGTAATGTAATAGGACCATAACCCCTAACAAGAGTACTATACCTTGTAATTTCTGATATATTTCTTGAAAGTTAAAATGAGTCAGTTCCTTGAATCTGTCACTGCATTTTAAATATGAGGGTTGCCAGGCATGGGGACTCACTTGTAATTCCATCAACTTGGAGGCCAAGGCAGGAGGAAAAAAGGTCAGCGCCAGCCTGGGCAACTTACAACCTGGTTTCAAAATAAAAAGGGCTGGTGGTAAAGCCCCTGGATTCAATCCCCAGAAACAAAAACAAACCCCACTACATGTAATGGGGGAAGAGACTGGCCTAAGACTTGGTTCTGAATTTGCCAATCTTTTGAAGCAAGAGAATGAAATTCTTAGTTGTGCATTTCTGTGAAATACTGGAGTCCTGCATTCTTGCAAGAGGACTCTGTTATATAGCAATTTTGAATACTGTATTGGACTGATCAAGTTTTTTTTTTTTTTTTAAAGCTTTCCCATTTTTTTTTATTAGTGATTTGTTTTTCTGCCTGAGATTTTAAGTAATAATTAATGATGCATATAGGATTGTAGTGTTTAGAATGCCAGCTGTACTGAGAAACATTCAGAAACACAGAAACACATTAGTACTTAAAGGAATGGCCACTTTTTTGAAAGAAGATTCTTATTGCTGGCTACTTTTAGCAAAAATCTTTTCTTTAAACCACCATCTACATGCTAAACAAAACTAAAACCTCTAGCTAACATGTTTCAGGAAGATTCATTTATTTTGTTTCCTATTTTGCTAATGCAGTAAAGTTACTTTAAGTTATAAGATGGTACTTTTTTTTTCTTCTGAAAAGTAATGAATTTAGAATTCTGTAAGAAGTATTAATGATAATAACCATGATTTTTGTGTGGTAATACAAGAAAACTTTAGTATGTACAGCATTTAATTTTTCATTAGACCTTTAAGTTGGTCTTTTAGTACCTTTTATGTGTGGGATAAATGTGTTGATACTTTTATTCTGAATCCTGGGTAATGAAAACAATTGTTTTTTGTTGTTGGTGGTGGATTAATGTACTAAAATTTCCTCAGTAAAACTGTTTATCCCATGTTAGAATTTAATTATAAGATAATTGAATCTGCTTTTAACCTGAAAGTAACTACAACATTTGTAAGCAAAAGGAACAGGGAAAATTTGTGCAAGGCAAAAATTGCTAATATTGGCAAGAAAGTACATTGTAGGCATGGGGATGTAGCCCACTGGTAGTGTGCTTGTCTAGCATGCTCAAGACCCTTGGTTTGATCCCCAGCACTGCAAAAAAAATAATAAGATTGCAGGGGGCTGGGGTTGTAGCTTAGTGGCAGAGTGCTCGCCTAGCATATATTCGATTCCCAGCATCATGTAAAACTAAATAAACAAAGGTATTGTGTCCACCATCTACAACTAAAAATATTAAAAAAAATAAGATTGCAAGTTTGAGGCTAGCTTCAGCAACTTATGAGAACTTGTGTCAAAATAAAAAATAAAAAACTGGGGCTGGGGTTGTGGCTCAGTGCTAGAGTACTTGCCTTGCATGTATGAGGCACTGGGTTCAATTCTCAGCACCACAAATAAATGATTAAAATAAATAAATAAATGATTAACATAAAAGTCCATCAATAACTAAAACAATAAAATAAAAAAACTGGGCTGGGGATGTAACTCAGTGGTAGAGCACCGTAGGTTCGATTCCCAGTACTGGAAAAAAACACTTAACTCATTTTTTGTCTATATCCCTAAAAAGATGTAATAGTTGTTGATATCTCTCACGTAAAGAAATCTTTGTTTTGTAAGGGTATAATTTTGAGTTAAGTCCAGTTGTTTTGTTGGGTGGGGGTGACATCATCACAGAAACTAACATAACTAGTAATGAGATGGCCTGATACAGTACACTTTTGTTTCAGTTTTGGAATGTTACTCTTAAACCCAGTAGATAAAACCAATAGACTAGAGCTCCTTCAGGGTGAAAAAGGGATAGTGGGCCTAGACCTCTTCTTGCTTGGTGCACTCATTTTCTCCTACCCCAGCATACTCAGTTTGAAACCAGTGTGATTAAAAAGAGAATTGGCTTTTGATTAAGATAGCCCAGTATTTATTAGCAACATGAGTTGGGGCAAAATTGCTTAATTTATCAGAGCCAGATTTTCCTCATCTGTAAAATGGGGATAACAACTACCTCACAGAATTGTTGCAAAGCATTATCCCTGGTAGACATATGGTCTCATTATTTTCCTTCCCTAAATTTGAAACCCAGGTCCCTACTGGTGTCTTAAGAATGTGCCTCTTTCTTGCCAGGGACAGTGCTGAACACTGTAACCCAAGGGACTCAGGAGGTTGAAACAGGAGGATCACAAGTTCAAGATTAACTTCAAGAAGACCCTCAACAACTTAGTGAGACTCTGTCTCAAAATAAAAAGGACGGGGGCTGTAGCTCAGTGGTAAAGCTCCCTGAGTTCAACCCCAGTATCTGGGGCGGGGGTAGGGGTGGGTTTTTCAAATGCTGCACTTGTATTTGTCTTTTAAAATAGACCCTCAGGATGATGCTAATTGGTGCTGCACTTTGATAGATTTTCCTATGATGGAATTAACCTGGTCATTTTAAACATGATTGTTACAGGCACTTGCTCTTATTTCCATCTTTCCAATGTTGTTATCAGGTTTATCTGCTTTAGCATTATAAGGTAGCAAGCTTCTAAAAGGAAGTATTGCTGCTATTACTTTAAATGTTTAGAACTAGTGTGTCTATTTTATAGCTAAGTTTTAGAGTTTATGGAGGGGAAGGAAACATTAATGAGAACTCATTTCTACCAGTGCAAAGAAAGCTTATAGTCTTGGAAGGCAGAAAAAAATTTTTAATGGAAGATAGCTCACACTTTTTGTTAATGAAGTTTAACAATCTTGTACAAAATTTAATGTAGTTTATTTAATACTACACACACAAGCTAAGATGTGTATTCAGCATTGTTTCACATATCTTATCTCTAGGCTTTTAGCTCAAATTAAAGACTGGGACATAAACATTTTGAGGAATACAGTGAATGCCATTAGTGAAGTTTTTATAGCAATTTGATTCATTTTTAATATCACTATCAGCTGAGTGTTGAAAACCTTTGTTGAAATAAAATATTACAGATATGCTCAGTTTACAGAGATGATAAACTACAACTAGTCTGGCTGAAGCAAGGAGAATACAGCCCTTCGCCAACTTAAATTTAATGCCTACTTGAAAATCAGTAGACAATAACAATAATAGTTACTAAACTTTAGTAGGAAAGCTGTATAATCTACATAAATCTATCTAAATGCTTAATAAAACTGTTTAGAGTGCAAAGAATGCTTATATAGTTTTTTTTTTTTCTTCTAATTTTGAGATGGGGTCTTGCTCTGTTACCTAGGTGACTTGAACTCCTGGTCTCAAGCCATCTTCCTGCCTTAGTTTCCTCCGTAGTTGGGACTACAGGTATGCACTACTGCACCCAGCAAGAAATTAAAAGGGAATTTGGACTTGAGAAAAAGAATGGATTAATATTGGAAGGGATACTTTTTTTTTTAAGTCTAATACTGCCTCTGTCTTCCTTTTTTTATTTTATTTATTTTTTTATGTCTTCCTTTTTCCTAAATGTTGATCTTATTTTTACATTATTACATTGACATTTCTGCCTTTTCCAATGGAGTGCTGACCTTCAAGCTAGTGGAATTTTGTCTTGATGAAGTGGTAGCTGTACTTTGTTTTTAAAACCTGTTGAAACAGGCAGTTCATGCACCTAGTTATTCAGAAATATAATATGAATTTTCTTGTGCCAGTGTGCCATTTCTTGGATGGAAATGAGCCCGGGGTTAAGCTTCTCTCATTTGGGCCAGTGCAGCTGCTTTCTCTCTGAACCTCTCCATTTTAAGCACTCATCCGTAGTGTTCTGAGATAAGCAGGTCACAGAAACCCAAAGTTATTTTTTAAAGGATTTTCTATAATTAAAGACATTTTTTCTAATTCTTGTTTGCTCTTTCCCTGAATTATTTTTCCTTCCTCTCCTTGCAAATCCTTGTTTGTCTAATCATTGTGTGATGACTTTTAGTATGCATTGTATTAACATTAATCTCATGTTTTAAACTTTAAAATATATATCTGCACACAAGATGGAAAAATACTGCATATGTGAAGAATGTGGTAAATAAATATATTTGGAAAAAAATCTAGTCTGTTTTAAAAGTATCTTCTTATGATATACAAAATAGTTAATATTGAATACATAAGTGCTTTTCATCCTAATCTTAGGCAACTGTTGTCTATAGCCAAAAGAGAAGACAAATAACTGAACAGCCTTTGATGTCATTTTCTTCACACTACAGATCCAATCATTTCCCAAATCCCACAGATTTCACTTTCTATGTATTTTTTGAACGTGTTCATTTATTTGTTCCACTATCAGTACTACTAGAATTTTTTCAAACTGGGTTAAGAACATAAATGATGGGGCTGGGGATGTGGCTCAAGCGGTAGCGCGCTCGCCTGGCATGCGTGCGACCCGGGTTTGATCCTCAGCACCACATACCAACAAAGATGTTGTGTCCGCCGAAAACTAAAAAATAAATATTAAAATTCTCTCTTCAAAAAAAAGTGTTGTAGGTGGAGAAACCCTTTGTCTTCCAATTTAAAAAAAAAAAACAAATGATGGATTACTTCTTTTTTCTAGTACCTAAAGACTTGATTAGCCATATAGTAGCTGACACTGCTTTGGGACCTCTGATTTCCCTACTATGGTGGCTATGGCTCCAAACTATAAAGTGACACAATGAAGATAAAAGCGGCAAGCTTTGGGGGGAATTACCCTTGCCTACCTGTGCTTGCCTGGCTTCTAACCTGTCACTTGTTTTGATGGTTACCAATCCTTAACATGAACTATACGTGCTCTATGATGCTGTTTTTGTGTATTTTAATTATTTGAAAAAGAAAAATTAGGGGGATAGGGGAGATAGGGCTGCAGGCTAAAATGCGCAGACAACCAAGATGTCAGACTAGAAGAGTTAAGTGACTATGTTTCTGGTTTTGAATCCTCTGCCCATATTTCTGTTACTCTGGAAACCAGAGCCTTAATTTTATTAATCGGTTGGATAACTGTTTTGTGCAGGCACTGTAAGGAATATGACGACTGAATACAATAAAGTCTTCTTTCCTTCTCAAAGTTATCTAGACCTTGTCTCCACGAGCACTCATTATTCATCACTGAATCCCCGCTTTAATACAAATGGTCCCTGGTAGGTAGGCAGGAGCCGAGAAGAATCTGTCCTGAGAGCAGGTTTTTAAGCGAGAAAACTTGTGTTTAGTTTTGTTTGTACTGGGGATTGAACCCAGGAGTGCTTAACCACATCCCCAGCCCTTTTTCAATTTTTTGAGACGGGAACTCTAATAAATTGCTTAGAGCCTCGCTAACTTGCTGAGGCTGGCATCGAACTTGCGATCCTTCTGCCTCAACCTCCCAAGCGGCTGGGTTTACCGGTGTGCGCCACGAAGCCCGGCAAAAGTTGGGTTTTTAAACGATTTTACCTGGGTTGGCTCCTTATAAAGTGCAGCACTCCTTTGTCTTCACAAAAGAAAAAAAGGGAAAATGGACACAGGAAAGCCTTGCGCGTGCTCTGGGGAAGACCACGCGTCCACAGAAGACGGGGTGACAAATGCCAGGGGCCAGACAGCTTTAGCAAGAAAACCCCGACGGATAGGAACCTAGAGTTTCTGGCTATCCAATTTCCCCGAGCTTAGCTTTTTTAAAAAAATATGCAAAACAAGACAGAATGGAGACAACGCCGGAAACCTCCCTGGCTCGTTTCCGGCGCGGCCCAAGGAGGTCGTTTGGGAGCGAGAGCCCGCCCGACTGACGCCTGCGCACTAGCCCGGTCCGCGGACGTTAGGCCGGTGCAGAGACGCTGTCGGATTCCGTGACGACAGCTCGATTAAACACTTTTGTTCTTAATTGTTAGTGAATCTATGTTGTGACTCGCACTGAAGCTCCGGGAGAGTGTAAGGGACGATTTTCCGGCTGTTTCCTCCTCCGCCGGCACCTCCGAAGGCAGTCCCGATTGAGGGTTGCTAAGGAGCGGGGTCCTGAGTTTCCATGACGATGCGCAGGCGTTCCAGGGGAGGACCGGGCGGCCGGAGGCCTGGCGGGAAACCCAATTTGCCGGTACACATCACAGGTGTCCTTTTCTGTGGTTTTTAATGGAGAAACGCTGCGAGCCCTGCCTGTCATTCGAGACCGTGGCGCTGTCCTACGCGAGAGGCACTGTTTTGGGGAAGCTGGGGACATTAGCGGGCGGCGCCCACAGGGCTGCGGGCGGGCGGGCAGGCTGTGGTGGGGCGAGCGTGTCCTTCCCCGACCCTCCCACACTCGCTGGCTTCTCAGTCACGTTAGAGGACCCTAGAGAACCTCGGGGTCCCCCCCCTCCCCCAAAGAAGGGAAACACTGCCAGGTGGATTCCAACTCCGAAATGAACACAAGCACGTAATAGGTCTCTCTCTCTCTTTTTCTTTTCTTTTTTTTTTGTTGTTCGTTTCTTTTGCCTACAGGACAATGTGACAGCCTGAAGGTCCTGGTACGACGCCGATTTACTTTTAAGTTAATTTGAGGAATATTTCAAATTACTAAAGAACGATAGGAGGCTCGCTCGCGCGCGCCCTCTCCTTTTTTTTTTTTTTTTTTTTTAAAACTATGTCTCTTCAGAAAACACCGTCCGCATCTCTGAACTCCTTATCATCTGAGGCCAAAAAGTCAAGAGTCTCTGTAGTCAAGGAGGAGACCGGAGGTAAACTTGAAGGATCCCGCCGACATAATTGCGGTCATTGACAGAAATCACCTTCCATTCACCATTTGTCTTCATCAGACGTTTCCCCCTACCCTTTTCCCCTCCCTTCCTCTGAGCCCAGGGTCTACCTGAGTTATCAAAGCTGGTCTCTGATGATCAAATGATCAAATGATCCTCAGTGGGTACTAGAGCTGTTTTTCTGACACTCGTTCAAGTAAAACCAAAAGCCATTTTCTTTTATAGTAGTTTAGAGCCAGTCCTTGTTAATTACTCCACTTAAAGGCTATGTTTATACTTTTTCCAAATGCTGATGAGTTTTATATTGTTTTAAAAATTCACCCTCCTATTTTAAATACAATGGCATCTTATTTGGTAGTTGGTCTCTGACATTAGGGCACTTAAAAAGAATAGTGGAGATAAGACAGACACATGCAAATCATACAAATTATGTATTTGTATTAAGTTTTAATAATTTTTCTAAATGAGAGCAATTCTGTGAGCTTTTCATTCTTAGATGAATGCAGATCTACACTAGAATAAAAATTGCTGGGCTGGGGCTATAGCTCAGTGATAGAGTACTTTAGGGGCATGCCTGAGGCACTGGGTTCAATCCTCAGCACCACATAAAAATAAATAAAATAAAGTCCTGAGTCCATCTACAACTACAAAAAAAAAAAAGATAAAAAAATAAACAAAAATTGCTAAAAGCATCCTCACCTTATTAGGGTAACACTTTCTCCAGTCTCATCTTCAGGAGTTGTTGGGAGAGATTCTGCTGAAGTCCCACCTAACCTTTTTGTTTGCCCCCTATTTCTTCTGATATTCTATACCAAACCCTTGAGAGAGAGTTGGTAGTATAAATCTTAAAAGTTATGATGGTGAGGAAAACATGGTACTTCTTTACTGAAAGTTATGAACAGTGACTACCAAACTACCTGACTGATTTCCTGGAAGCCTTTTTCCTGAATTAGCCCTATTACCCATGTTTTTTACTTCTGTGTACTAATCAAGCTGAGGAGAATACTCTTCACAGTTCTTATTCTGTCAGCTTGCTGAGATTATTCCACTTTTCATTTCCAACAATCCTAGTTCTACTTTTACTTTGTGTGTGTGTGCCAGAGATCCAATCCAAAGACTTATACATGCTAGGTAAGTGCTCTACACAGAACTGTTTCCCCAACCCCTACTTTTACTTTTAAACTCCACTCAGATCCCTTCCATCCTCAATTTTTAAAATATTTTTAAATTGTAGATGGACACGATCCTTTATTTTTTTATGTTTATTTGGTGCTGAGGATCTAACCCAGTGTCTCACATGTGAGAGGCAAACACTATCACTGAGCTACAACCCCAGCTCCCATCCTCAATTTAATAGTCGTTTTACCTTTGAATTTATTTGAGAGAAATTATAATCTGACAGATTGAAGAAAGATTTCTTGTTTTATTTGCATATCAAAGGGAAAATAGTTTATTCCCATCATCTTAAAGCTTTCCCAGTTAAGTGAAGTGAGTTAATTTTCAGCTTGGACTATTCAGGTTCAGCTTTGTATATGAGGTTTTGAACCTGTTGTTTGATGTGAGTAGGGTAGGTAATACATTTCTTTTGACCAGATAATCTTTGGTGTTTTAAATATTATTTGTTACTATCCTTTTCAATCAAAAGCAATGTTTCTCTCTATTAGGGAAATATAGATGAGAATTATGAGGCAGTGTGGGAAGCTCCATCCAAAAACTTAGTTCTAAGAGCTTTTCTTTCCTTTTTCATTCTTAGGACTTCCTCAACTAAGGGAGCAAAAAAGTATGGTGGGTCATTCCAAACCCTTTCCTACTTCCCTTCAGAATGAGTTCATCCCCGAGGAGATTCTGCTTTCTCTGACCTATGCAGCCAATGCCGGTCCCTGTCCTGAATATTTACTGCCTCCTAAGAAAACGAAAACTCCAAAGGTGTGTAAGTTTGCATGTAGACTACTTGGGGATATTATCTCTTTGGTATCCTGTTTATTAAGTGTTAGTTGAGCACAGGTTATATATTCCAAGTGGTCTTAACTTTTTTTAAAGTAATTTTCTACATTGAAAACTCATGTTTTCGCCCAAATTTCCAAGGCTTGAATATTTCTATTAATCTGTTTTCATGTTAACTTACCAAAATTACCATTACTTAGTTTTAATATTTGTAGAAATGTTCTATTTTCAGTCTTTGCCCATGCTACTGAATAAGAATTCTGCTCTATTCCACAGGGTATCAAAATATAAATATTCAATTACTAAGAATAGATTTTTTGCTTGACTAGAGTGCCCTCTGCTGTATATCCATGTGTTTTTCTTTTTCCCAGGGTACTCTTCCACGCCCTGTAGACCATGTCTGGCAGCACCCTATTCGAAGGAATAAATTCAAATACCTGATTGACCATCCTGTCTCCCTGACAGGAGCTGCAAGGTAAAGAAGGAAGAGGTTCAGATAGATGCAGATTAATTTGTCATTTTCTCATTTCATGTTACAGCCTTGGGAGGGGCAGGATTGGAGAACTCATAAAATCATTGATTATAAAACTTGTAGTATCTTTGATAAATCAGAATACAATCCAAAAGGGTGGTCATGTTTTTGTTTATGATGATTATAAGTATGATAGCTGTAGGTATTGGCTCTGCATATTTTCAGTTTGTTTATATTTATTTCTTTTTTGCATGTATTTGTATAGCTGTCCTTATACTCTCCTATTCCTTATTGCTACCTACTAAAAGGAGGAAGATCTGACAGGCAGAATGCCTTTAGAGTTTCCTGTATTTGTATGTATAGGTGTTTTTTGAATATCTTAGAGGAAAAAGCTTTATAATGTGGAAAACCCTGTAGAACAAGTGCTTAATTCTGGTTCACTTCAAAGGGAACCCTTACTCTTTTATACTTTTCTAGGTCAAATCAGCAAATACTATTTATTGTTTTTGTATCATTCCTAAAACTATTCTAAGTGTCAATTTTTTTTCCTGTGAAGATTGTGACCCCATTTTATAAGTAAAATCCATTTATCAGTTTACTTCCTGCATGCTGCTTGCTTTCCTGTCATTTTTGTCTGAAAATGCTTATTGTACTTGGGTAGGTGATTTAGTCTTTCTGAAGTTAGTTTTCTAGTCTGTAAAAAAGGTAATAAATAACTTAGGGCTGGGGTTGTGGCTCAGGGATGGAGTGCTTGCCTGGCACGTGTCAGGCACTAGGTTTGTCCTCAGCACCACATAAAATAAATAAATAAAGGTATTGTGTCTGTCTACAACTAAAAAATATAACTCACTTTTGTGTGCCTCTAGGGATGTTGTAAAAGTACAAATGAGATAATGAATTCAAGAGCACTTATAAAACCATAAGTGCTATTCAAATATAAGTTGTTATTATTCAGTTATGTCTCAGTGCTACAAAGAGTGGCAAAAACTTAGTCTGTTGACTTTTGTGTCCTAAGCTTTAGTATCAAACAGCATCTGTATTTCATTTTATGCATTTAGATCATGGATATAATTATTAATAGTAATAATTAAGTTATGAGATATTTAAAGTACTTTGAAAAAATAGCCATATTTGAATGCAGCAATAAACTGGCATTAAAGTTTTGATGTCAAATGACTTCTGATTCAGAATTTTTAAAATGTGAAAATCAGGTAAGCAGATAATGTTCCCTCGCCCCTACTAAAATGTTCTTACTGTATTCTTGGGAGCTGTGAATACATACCTCATATGGCAGAAAGGACTTGAGATGGAAAGCTTACCTTGGATTGTCAGAGTGACCTAATCACCTGAATCCCTGAAAGTTGTAAAGAAGGGCAGTCAAGTGGGTTTCAGATGAGATAGAAAGAGGAGGGCAGATATGCATCATGACACGGGTTCAACCTTCCATTGTTAGCTTTGAGGATGGAAGGTGGGGGGTACATGAGCCAAAAAATGCAACTGGATACTAGAAGCTGGGTCTTCTAGTGATGACTCAGCTAACAGCTATTAGGGAAATAGGGGTCTCAATCTTGTATGCCCAAGGAACTGGATTCTGTTAACCTGGATACACACAAAAATGGGTCTACCTCTAACACATCTGGAACCTCACA